TATTGCAACGTACAGGCTTTCGTTAATAAAAATAACTAGTATGATTCTATATATACGTGAAATTATAATTCAAATCTTAAACACCTATACCTTTATTACAAAACAGCTTTGCAACAAGATAACGTAATGCACGATCAGTCAATCGATTCCCTGAACTATGTATCAGGGAACAATATCTACCCTTTCAGGAACAGTTTTCATATACCAGTTGACTACAAAAAGACTTAAACGCCTCGTATCTTACGTTAAACACTAATCATAAGAACTAAGTTTATTATACGATTTATCACATTTATACACTCTTTTTACAATAACAAAGACTTCCTTGTTGGTAATTTTAACGCTGAAACCTGATAATTAATCAAAAGCTAATTTTATCTACTGCTACCTAATGAAGACAACAGTATTTACGAACAAAGACATCGAATGACTAATACAAAATAGTCAGATTACAATATATCCTATCGCGGAACATTTCTACGATAATCTACAATCTACCATAAGTAAATTATAATCACAGTGATTCGAATTGTAAGATTATTCTCGATTTTCTAATTAAACTGCTAATTTCAGTAGGTTGTATATATCACCATAAAAGCTAGTGCTATATTTAAATATCACATATCTAAATTAGAAACTCTACATATAAGGGTAAATCAACAGAATTATCGTAATATAGATGTTTCTACTATAATCTCGATATTACAGAATTAGTTTGTGTTGGCTACTTACCGATTTTTTTTAATCTTGAATTTATAGTAATCGGAAACAAATTTAAGATATTAAAATGCATCAACTGTTATAATCTTCTAAACTTCGTTGGTAAATTAGCTCCAGAGCTACCGTACTCCGATTAGTCTCTCAATAAATAGTTCACCGTTTTATCCAACAAAATAAATACTTTTATTTCTTAATTTCTTAAATTAACACAAATTTATCTTCCTAATAAAACCTGGGACTAAACCAACTAAATAGCCGACTCGACGAGGTGAGCTAACTCCTAAGCTGCTGTTACACAGTCGCTTGTATACTGTAGGAATTGAGGACTGAGAGTATATTTTCAGTAATTTTGATTACTACTGTAACAAAACCAATGACAATTAAAGGTATTGATGATGGATGTGTATATTTATATTATCAAAATGTAAATATAATTTTGATCATCTCCTTATCATTAGAATTTTTATCTTCTTCCTTGTGTTCACAATGTACGTCATATAATAGCGGAGCTCTATCAAGTAAAATTTGAGTTGATAATACCGTCAACAAGAGGCTTTCTAATTCTTCTTAAGATTAATCGCCACCGTATTACAAAATTGCAATGTGACTGAACTCAGGTTAAAATGAACACACAAAATGTCTAGTCTATATGCTAAATACCGAGTCAATTCGTGAAATGCGTACTCAGTTCGTGTTTTCATCTATTAAGTTAATGGGTGTATCTTTATTATATAACACTATAAACTATAGAAGTAGCTGAAGCAGCTATATTATTACAATCAAGTATAGTTATCGATGTAATAAAATATAGGATAAATCACTACATTACATAAGGCATCAATTAATTTCGAATAAATGATTGACTCATTCTGCAAACAGACAAGGAACGCAAAATTAATTGCAAGCATAATTTATTACTTTAAATTGCTTTACTGTTGAAGTCTACCAACATATATATATTTATTGATTAATATATAAATATGGCTATGAAGTACATTTGAAGATGAATCATTCTCCGATAATTAATGAATATCTGCTAACATTAACTTAAGTATTAATATGGGTCAACATTAATCACGATCACAAATGTTAAGACAGTCACTCTTATTCTAATCTCTACGATTTATCCACTTATCTAATGCGATGGCTACTAGTATTTATCAGCTGAGACTAGAGCAAATCGACATGCTTCACAGTTGCTTTAGCGTTGCGATTCGTAAAGTTATGCTTACTCTTAAGCTTCCATGCCATCATCACTGATTAATCTTTCTTGTGTGCTTAGACTCCTACTAAAAGCTGCTCTAGCGGCAAAAATAAAGGGCGGAATCATACTTACGATGCTAATGCCCATAAAGACATAGTCAAATATAATAGAGACACCGATGATTGGTGAGGAACTGAAAGGTCTGATGATGAACATAAAGACGATTAAAGCCACAGCACAAATAGCTTGCAAGAAAATGAACAAATTGGTAGCAAAATAAGCCAAATTCTAAATATATCGTATGTAAGAAAACGTTAGCTTGAATTATTTAGTTCTAATTGAATATGAATATTGATAGTTTGTTAGAAAATATGCAATATTCTACTCACCAATGAGTCAGTAGCAGAATAATTCGAGGCAATGCCAATTCTTGAAGCTGTATAAGCCTATAAAAATAAAACGAACATCCATGTTATCTCTTGGTTCATTTATTAATTTATGACTACGTGAAATATAATAGGTTTAATTTATTTGAAATACTGCATACCATGCATCCTACGATTAACGAAATGTAGCCATAGCTGGCAAAACCCATCGCTGCCATCATGAAAATAGCAATTCCACCAGCGAGAAGACCTGAAGCCATAAGACCAATATTATTGATATTTCGAGATGTATTTTCTGAATTAATTTTGGTTGGGGTAACTACTACATCATTTGGATATTGTGATGAATGACTAGCTATGACAGTAGTTACAGCTCCAATAATGGTCATAACAGACTGAGTTAAGGCCAAAACAGTAAAATCAGCTCTCTCCCACATCGAAAATTTAAAGCTATTAGTATAGTGGACCATTGTCTGAACAAGAACTATCATAGCAGCTCCACTAACACATGATGAGAAGATAGCCATAGTTTTATGCCAAACATTCTAGCAAAGAATATTGGAAATACATTCTTTAATATTACGGAATTAGAAATCATGAAATAAAATTACTTAAACTTACCAATTCAGCAATGTCTTTATCATGAGCAATCAAACCAATTACTCCAGTAGCAAATAGCTAATAAGAACGAATAAATAATTGCAGCATAAATATTTGAACGATGGACTGGAACAAGATAGAATCATGGATATATATGAGTATACCAAATATATATTAGTTATATATAAGCTAGTTTCAAATCAATGGTCTTATGCGAACTGACTTAATGAAACAGTAGCAGTATGAGAATACGAATAAATATGACATTCTAGTTTAGTTAAATTGATTACTTAGTTTTATAACATACCATAACTCCGTGGAAATGAATAGAAATAACTGAAAACCTATACCATCGTTCCTGTAATATAGCAACAGCAAGGCCAAATACGATAATACCAAGAATAACCATGATAATGGAGAGTGTGAATCTGTTGATACCAGAGACTGCATAAGACTGCGAGATACTTCCTCTATTTTGTATTCTTTTACCCTGTTGGATCGCAACTATAAGGGAAACAATGCCAAAAACAGCAGTACCAGCTATTTCGAATGTCATCGGCAAATACCATCGAGGTTGATTGTATCCTCCGCCAAATAAAATACAAAATAGCCTGGTAATATTAGCAGGAGATAAAACAACTCCAACAATACCAAGGGAAAGTAAAGCCGAGGCCTAATGAACGAAGAAAAATTACTTAATTAAATTAACTTTGAAAAAGTATCCTTTCTAACTATAAATTATATCTTGTAGCCTTATGTAGTAAATGAAATAAGAAGCTATATTATCATCCAAGCTAGCAATGCTTAAGAATATTTCTACTCTTTACACGTAGGTTTCCATATGTTTATGTAAGCAAGATGTAGATAAAAACGAGCACTCATCGCACGGCAATACTTAAATTAGGTTTTTACTCTTTACGTCTAGGCTTTGCCAGATATTAAAGTAAACAAGATTTAGAGAGAAGCAGACATTCATCGCAATTGTTACTCAACATTGCTGAACACGATTTGGCTGAAAGCAAAGTTCTAGGTACAGTGTATCATAATATACCTCGGTCTGAGTAGGGGAGTCCGAATCCTTAACTTTGAAAAGAACTGCAGCTAGAACAACAGCCTGCGAAAACAGCATCGAAAATAAAATTTAAATTTTATACAAGGTTATAAAGAAAAATCTTTTTATGGAATAGTATTTCTGTATAAATTCACTAATTTCTACTATGCACTCTAAAATTATGATAATAGCAAAAAGATACCGATGTAAACATGAATGACTAAAGTATAAAATACGAAAATGCTCTTTTCATCCAATTCCTTATAGAATAGATCGCAAAAATGTCACAAAATAAAACTATTGTTGATATTCTATGGTAATAATTTCACTACGTACCAAGACTGCCGACCATGTTGGGTCAAAAATAACTGGACCTGCTCTTATGTTTATCAAGTAAGGAGTCAAAAAAATGGTAGCAAGCGCAGATGCAATGATAGCTATCGCCGAGATTATCAAAATAGCGCCTAATGTCTGTCCACGGGTCATCTATAAAGTGATCAAATAGAGGGAAAAAAGTTATTAGCTTTAATAATACAGTATAAGGAAGCATAGCTGAGTCAATTAACTTGCAACAAAACTTTAATTTTTATATTTAAATTCTCAATTCAATGCTAAGATTAGACTTACGCTTTAGAATTGGAAAGATAAACCAAAGGTGAAAAAAAGTATTCTATAACTTGACTTGATTCTACAATCCTCTCTAAGGGCCTGTTTCAAGCTGAAATGTTTTAATTTGAATATCCGTATTGGACATGGATATAGCTTTATATGCACTTGGACTAGCAATTTAATGACATCATAGTTTAACAGGAAGGATGTTTCTGTTGTTTACCTATTAACATTAGAGAAGATAGCCAGCTTTATCAAGTTTACCACAATCTCATCTTTCTAAAGTAAATAGTTGTATGATTTGCATGAGAATAGAGCTCATACAACACTCTTTTCTTGATTAACCATACCGTTGCTATATACCGTTCAAAGATAGCGACCGGTCTAGCCTACTTTCAATAGATTGCATGTTTATTCTTGGATGCTATTCTTTGCAGTATTTACTTCCAAATAAGGTAAAGTCTATTCTTAGTAGAAGTTAATATCCACTAGACTGTAACATAACTCCTTATTGTTATAATATATTTTTAACTGTTCTTCTTACGCCATAAAAGCTATCTTCATGTATCTATCTCATTAGTTAGTTCTGTTAGTAGACGGTAAGCCTGCACACTTCACGGTCTTCACCTATTCTACTTTACTATAGCTATTCAATTAGTAACGTTGTATTCATGCTGTAACTTCACACTGTTATCCACTTTACATTAGCTCAATAAAGACACACAAAGATTTTATAGGCTATTGTGAAGTCATAGTAATTGACAAGACTGTTTTATTCAGTTTCGATAGAACCTGATCCAGGCAGATTGTGCGGGCTTGCTGGTATTCCTAAACTAAATTAAGCTATTTATCGAGAATTTCTTTTAGTTTTTTTCTAAGGAGGCTAGCTCATACCTGAAATGGCCTTAGTAAACCTCACCACAGCATTCGTCTGCACCTCGAACACAAGATAATTGTGAACGATGATTTTCCTATCGTGATAATTCTGACATTCACATTTTAGTATACGTTTTTCGAATTATAGGCACTACATGTGGCAGCATGCTATACTGGGTCGACCGTTAATATTACGTCATAATTTTTATATGTTTGCAGATTGATAAGGGTAAGTCTATGCTATGTATAATGCTTACGAGTAATGGCCAGTGAATACAGGTATTACTCCATCAGAACAATAGTAACAAATTAATATTGTGATAATTATAAAGGATATTATATTTTGCAGGTTGTTTGAATTAATCGAATTTTAATTGCCCACAATGATTAATACTCAGTGCCGATTGGCATTGTTCGGAATGGGCAGAGAAACTATAGCCATTAATGGAACTAATTATTCGTGCTTAAAATAAGCAATACTTCACAAGATATCCAGCAATATAATATAGTGCGGTACAAAATTACATTTTCTGCTATCGATAGTACTTGAACTTTCTATTTTAGTATGGGCTATCGGTAGTACTGGCTATATTCTGTTCTTAATGTGCAATATTCTTGTAGGAAAACTAGACTGCGCTGAGCCCTGAGTAAATAAGATAGTAGATTAGCGGTGTTAGTGGCACTCTATCTGGTGTAATAGGCGTAGCGGATTATTAGTTGATAATACTAAGGATGTTAGTCGTACGGTTAAGTGGGACTACTTGGCGCCTTGATAGGTGGTACCGATACGTCTCAGTAGATGCCGTATGATTGGCCCAAAGTGAGGGATGACAATTATACGTAGCTTGGGGTTTTGTACTCGCAAGGCCATATTGAATATAAATTAGATTTAGGAATAGTATAAGAAGCAAAAATAAACTGACTGATATATTACAATTGTATAATACAAATCCAATGAAAATTACTATTTTCTATCACCATAGTCAGAATTTAGTGTCCGTCTGTGGATAGTCGTGATTATATTTTGTTATTGATACATAATATTCAGTAGCACGATTCAGTATATAAATTTTTGTCATTGCTATCAGAAATTAACAAATTACATGCTGTGATCGTCGACTGTAAAAAATTTCATTTTGTCCTTGATATGCAGTATTAGTGATTTTAGGCATTTTATTTATTCATCATGATAATAATTAAGACAAATAGTATTATTAATAATCACTTAAGATTGGCAACAGAAATCCTGTCTACTGACTATGAGGTGGCTTAGTTCAGCGTATGTGCTCAAATCTGATTAGTTTTTAATGAAATTTCTGAACTTTTTTGATTTATGATTTATGGTCATCCGTATCGAGAATTTAAGACAGGTCTTTCTCGCTAGCAATGTCAAACCTAGCATATGCAATGATGTTGATGGCTCTTGAGTAATTATTTGAAAACCGTGTATTTATTACAGAAAATAATTTCTCAAAAGTTTGGTATCTATCGTTTCAATTAGAAATTTACAAGGAAAGCATGAACAGGGATGTTACAGTTCAACTTTTTCAGCAGTTTATTCGATAACGCCGCAAAATTTGGATAATTTTCAACATTTAGAGTTTTGTTAAATACGAAGTAGCCCTGTCGTTTGCAAAAGTTTGCGACTTCATATAAGTATAATACAAAAATTGGATAAAATAATTTTTTAAGTTTGGCTATCTAACGATAATTACACTGTTAGTATAGACTAGGAGAGTGTTACGAGTACAGGTTGTGCTACTAGCCTAGTGCAGAGAAATATAAACAATGCATAGCAACGTTAAATTTTAAATGATCTCTTTATCAACCCAACATTTTTAAGACCGCAACTGTTGAAAAGATTTCAGCGACTACCGGGAGCTAGGTAACTTGCCAACATTTTATACCTTAATATTGATTGTGCCTTACTTATTACGGTAATTCATTCACACCCATTACTGTACAAAGCTATATCGAATGTAATAATTTCATTTGCAAATTTAAAGGAAATTATACATATGTAGTAAAATTTATTCAATATCGAATTTGTATCAGGCAGGCTTCTTGAAATCAATTTTAGTATAGAAAAATCAATATTAAGTCCAAGTTCGAGAGGGAAGATTATTTTATTACTTAAAGAGTTTTAAATCTAGACAGCAAAGTAAAATATTCTACTACAGACGCGCTTACTTTACAAATTAGTATCTTTAGTTAGTTAGTTTTAAACGAATCCATATTTCATTCCGCATACAGTATCAGCCTCTATATACGGTATTAAATATGGATTTAAACTTATGTACTACGTATAATCTCTTAGCAATTCAACGTAATATTACATTGATAATTATTAATGTCATCATATGTAATAAAATAAAAAGTCAAACATGCTAAGCATATAGTAGAAATTCCTGACTAATAGAACGTTTAAGGCTTCATCCAATCAACACAAAACATCAGATTATGGATCCACTTATTGTGATTAGTAATTTGGATATGTGTTATAAATAATTACAGATAGAAAATTCTTTACGAAACGAGAAAATTACCGCAATTTATAAGAGTCCCAGCTATATATATCCTAACAAGGTGAAAGTTATGTAAACTGATATTACAATCCTTAGGTCTATATATCAGGATTGTCATCTAATATTAAAGATTCTTGAGGTTCTTTGTAGCTTTCATAAACTGCCTTAGCTGTCAATAGTGTTATAGGAACCATACTAGCTATGCTTATGCCCATAAAGATGTAGTTATATGCATATGAGGTTTCTATAATAGCAGATGAGCTAAAGGGTAATGCAATATAGTTAAATATAATAAGGCCAATAGAAAATAACGTTTCCACATGAGTAAGTAAGTTGACGGCTAGGTATGGGTGTTTCTAGAATATAGGAGGAAAAACGATAATTTTATTGATTTACATACCAGTCGAACATAAGAAAAAATGAGAAATACAAATGTCTACGATAAATTCGGCAATCGATTGTAGAAAATTAATTTTGAAGATACTGTATATGTTGAAATGCATTTTTAAGAATCTTTTAATCCGACTAACCAATACGGTGCTTTTCGTTGTTTGAATTGCATATCCAATTCTAGATGAGGTATAAGCCTAGCATAAACGCAAAGTATTTTATCGTTAGTAACATAATTTGATTGATACTTAGTTGCAGCCTTATTTTTTTTAACAATGATAGTTTACCATTGCGCCAGCCATCAATGCAATGTAACCATATGTGGAAAAATTCATAATAGCAACCATAAATGCGGCAATTCCACTTGCAAGAAGACCTGATACTAGGATTCCAACATTGATAGGATCGCTGTACTCTGCAATGTTCTGATCATCAGCTGGAAACCGAGATGCATCTATTGCTAGCATGGAAGTTACAAATCCAATTATGATAAAGGCTGCCTGACATAGGGTTAATACAGTAAAGTCAGCTCTAGACCATTCCGAATCTTGAATGTTGTTGACATAATGGACTAAGGTCTGAACAAGCACAACCATACCAGACAGACTAACGCCGGAAGCAAGCGTGGCAAAGACCCTATACCACACATTCTGTCATTTTGAAAGACAAATCATAAGAAAATATGCCACCTTAATTACAAATATAGCGTATATTCTATTCATACTAGTGTTCAGAAAATCTTATCTCTGAGCCTGGCTACGTCGCTACTGCTTAGTGAATATATTCGTACATGTACGGGCATAGTCGCGAACGTAGCAAATTTGTTGTTTTACTCCAGACTATACTGAGATTTTTCAACTTACCATTTCGTCCGTGTTCTTTTTATGAGTAATTAAGCCAAGTATTCCTGTAACAAAAATCTGCAATGGAATTCCAAATTAAAAGAAATAGCTGATACATTTACTACAGTCTTTTTCATTATCATCATCCAATGAATAATTATTTATAGAACGTTATCATACAAACTAAATTAATATCACACGGTTTCTGCTTAAACAACCCATTTAAGGCCTATAGAACTTACCACAACACCTTGGAAATGTAGAGAGATGACAGAAAAATTGAAGAAACGTTCTGAAAATATTGCTAAACCAAGACCGTAAATGATTCCACCAGTAATGATCATAACGATGGATAGGGGAAACTTGCTAATACCTCTATGCGATTGTTGACCTTCCTGAGAGGATAATAGCTTACCTTGTTTAACAACTATCACGAGTGAGACAAAGTCTATAACTAACGTCGAAGCTATCTGAAATCCGGTGGGCATTGAATATCGAATTTGGTTATAGTCGTTTTCAAATAAATCAATAAAGAGTCTGGCTGTGCTTGCAGACGATATTACGGCGGACATGATACTTAGTGATAATAAAGAGGCAGCCTAAGAATAAATATTGCAATTAGTCTCATCACTATTATTGAAGATTGATAATACCAATTCTTTAATCGGATCATTTTGATATAATTGACAAGTTTAACCGAGCTCATTAACTCCTATTAAGCCTCAATACCGTTTTATACCTACATTTTGTGATATCATTTGTAGGATTAATGTTTAAATCATGTATCAGTATGCTATAGCGTGTATTGACTGGTTCATTATGCGTCGAAAAAATGATGGCTAGTTAATTTATCTTACAAGGTGACAAAGTAAGCATCTAGTTTAAGTGTTTACGGATGGAACTTTGATAGGAGTGTGTTCCACAAATCAATAGTGACGTATTTCACTTTAGATGATGAAATAATATTGAATTGTTATTGAAGCAACTATTGGGCAAACAAATTTTCATATTTAGTGTTAAATACATTTTAAAAGAAGTGAAAGCCATAAAACGCATGGATATTCCTTCAGCTCTAAATCGCAAACGGCTTCAGCATGCCGCAACAGTTAAACTAGAATTAAGCAAGTCTGAGCCGAGCATGTTCATAAACTCTATACTAATTTACCTTCTAGCATTAATTAATATTCAATACTTATAAATTTCATGATATCAAATACACGCAGTTTTTTTTATGATTCCGAAAGGTCCATCAACTTACTTCAGAAGGTGACGTCATAGTTAGATCTCGGACTCGCAATAAAAAAATACCAAGAACAATTGCCTAGTCAAATTAAAGTTAATACAATAATTAGCCATCTTGTATAACGTGAGATGAACAGTAAATTGAAAGGAAAGTAACGATTTCAACATCTTTGTATTTCATAGTGAAGCACTTTCAAAGCTAGAAAATGTCGCTAAGATGGAGTAATGCAATGATAATAGTAATTAATTCTTGGTAAAAGAAGAATGGAGAAAATGGCAAGTCGGGAGCTCATGACTGTAAATTAATGATTGCAGAAGGACTGTAGCTAGTATGACGATTAATATTCTAAAGTGATTCACGTAGGACTAGATAACTCACAAAGTTGGCAGACCAAGCTGGGTCAAACAACAGTGGGCTAATGTATATTTTAAACATAGCAGCATTGAGAGAATAGGATGTAATTCCTGTTCCAATCGTTGCTAAAGCAAAGAAAATTAATATTCCGCCAAATAGTCGTCCAGAAGCCATTATTCATCAACACAAATACGTGACCAGCAAACCTATGGCCAAAAGATTATCAGAAAAACTTTCACTATAATTAACGATTCACTTTCTTCTCGCTGTCAGAAGCCTATCATCATTGTAAATGAATTTCTTCACAACTTACAGTCAAGTTCAATAATTTTTTATCCAAACTTTCAACTTGAATTACTAAAGCACGGCTGTCGGTAGTAACCTACTACAAAAGTTGAAAATAGAGTTCTCTAATGGCTGTTGTTAATTTGATTTACCAATCTATTCAATATATAGAGTAAGGGTCTACGAAAGCTGATACTATCATATCAACAGAAGAAAATTCGTTGAGTAGATGAGCAAAATTGCATACTTTAATAGTGTAATTTAACTTGGATTAGTTCCTGAAAGATATTAAGACCCTTCATGAAGTGAACAAACAATTAACTCGATAGATACGACTAGATAGCATTATCTACTAGTTAGCCAATACATTGTCTGTGATGAATGATAACGACGCTCGAACAAAATAATACAAAGAAAACTGTTAGCCAATAGCTTGGCTTAAATATGATGTCATAGTTTGTCCCATTAATTACAGCCCGTACATATTTACCTGTTCAGTAATACCGGACTTGGTGTTAGCCTTTATACCTCCTATAATACTGAATTAAACTAGTAGCGAACGACTAGGATAAGTATAGAAAATCAATTCTCTTTTCCTAGATAAAGAATGCTAGAGATCATAGAATCTCTCATAGACACCACCTAGTTAGTAATAAGCGTCTTATTCTTAGATCATAGGCAAAAATCTGCTTTTCTTTAGAATTAGCTACATGATGTTGGATTAAAAATTCTTAAAGACCCTTTCCATTGGTGAGCCAATCTAGTTTAAACTTTATTATGTAAAGTGCATACTTGTTAAGAATCATGATATCGAAAAATTGTACCACTAAATTAATATTTTCCATCTGCCCATACATCAATGTCGTAAGTGCCATCCTTTTTCTTTTCGATTAAGAGGTTAACATGTGGACGTTATCCATGCACTATAGACTTCTGCGGGCTTTAACTTATAGAAGGTGTAGCAAAGCAATTCACTTCAACAGCAAAGCTACGATCGAATTCTTTATTCCACAACGAATATAAGGTTGATGCTCAATCAGATGTAATTAATTCATTAATTTAAATTCATCAGGCTATTTGGAGTACGGTAAATTTTAGATTATAGTCACAATTTACTTAAAATAGGTTCTATGAAATGGCAATTTAGAATACTATGGATTATAAATGACTTTATATACGTATATAGTGAATTATATTTAACGAGGATTCGTTAAGATCTAGGATATTTACGGCTTTGATTTTTGGTATTGTTTATGGAAATAAATACGCTAAATCGAATATCATGTTGCAAATTCTGGGTTAGGTTGTCACTTAAATAGAAATATGTCTTCATAATAGCTACGATCGATCCTGTAGATTCATAAATAATATAGCGAATGTACTACTAATAAATAATACAATCTGAGACATTCTGAACTATTTTTTCAAAACATCAGCAAACACTTAGAGGAATAATTCTTCGACTACTTTTATCGAGTACTGAAATAATTACCTCAAGCTAATTAGAACTTTAATAATTTGGGATAGACTACTGTTTGCTGAAAACTAAAATTACAATAAAATCCATAAATGAGCCCTTTTAAATTACTGGAGTACATTCAAACTAGATAGAAAAGGGATACAATTAAAATTATCTGAGTTCAGTTTACAGGCATTATCAAATAAACATGCCGTAGAAGAGCCTAAAGTTTTGATTTTAAGCGACAGATTCGGAGGTCATGTCGGTTTGATGAAAGTCTAGGATATTTTGGGTTGGGTTACAGCTTAATAAAAATATGATACAAGTTATTGAACGTAAAAAATGAATTTATATTAGATAAATAACCCAACTTAAGGCATACTGTATCAACATGTATTTCGTTAACATCAGCGATGTCAGGTTAAACTTTAGCTTTAGATACAGTCATAAGGTTACGGCATCGCCTTAATTAGAGCCTGACAAATTCAGGGCTAAGTGACAGTTTCTGAACTGTGAACTACTGAAGAGCTTCGAATAATCTTTTTTTCGCTTACTAATAGCATGCAATTAGCCCATAACTGCATGCAAGATAAAATCCAATATCTTAAAAATACTTATCAGCATCTGCAGCAAATGATAAGACATTTTGTTCTCCTATAAGATGTATTCTGAGGGCAATTAATCACACTTATTATAATAAGAAGAATTTACTTAGCTCCTGGTTGGATTATATTCCTGGAAGCGTAATTACAGTAGTTAAAAACTTGATAAAAATTGCCTATTAACGTATAAACAAGATTAATTTAAGATGTTATCATTTTTTACGAAGAAATAGTAATCGTTTTAATAGCGATTAGTTTAATTTCAGGATCCAATGAGTATGGGATATATTTAGAAGCGATCAGAAATTATGCCATAAATGAAATCTTAGGCTAAGGTACCGAATGTATTAGGTCTATCTTAATTGTTGATTAAAAGCCCTTGATGTTGTTTAAAGCTATTCATCCAGCACTTAGAACAGCTCAAATTCTCACTAAGTAATAAATTAATATCCGTGACTTAATAGTAAATCTTTTTGATACCGTTTTGTAACTAGTACTCAACAACTATGAGATAAGTTTTTAATTCCGACCCGGTAAGCTCAATATTTCAGAAGAGCATCTCTGCAAAGGGCTATCTAGAAAATTGCATTATAATCTTTTATTGACCAGAAGCAAAAGCTTTTCTAATTTATATAAATGATATATGCCTATATAATGTTTAATGATCATGGAATCATGGATCGAGAATGATGTCATAAATATATACTAACAGTCTAGGATGTTTATTAGTGAATATTCTAGCGATATTTAATTGTAAAACCGGAATCTTCGTAAAATTTAATGAACGAGTAAATCAATCTGTCAAGATTGCTCTACTTATGTAAATTGCAATATGAAGTAATGCCTCCAACTGTTCTTATTCTCTTGCAACAGCTTCTTAAAGTTTCAATAGCCTTATGCATATTTAACGAGCTAAAGATGAGACAGTAAAAATGTGTATTAAATCACCGTTCAACATGTAAATTACTCTGCTATTTTTCAGACATGATTTTTCGAAGACGTAAATGATGTCAAATGTTATTTAATTGCTGTGAAGTTTCATAACCTAAATGTTAGCGTCACGATCGAGATTGTAATACAGAGGGATAATATTAAATAGGTATACTCTACCTTCGTTAATCAAGTACAACTGCCTCGTAACTCAATATTTCATAGAATTACCCTTTCAATATTAGTCTTTAAAACTGTATAATCGGTAATACTCTACCTTTTATCCTACGGACAACTTTATGATCAACGTGTATACTAGTCTAGTTTACTATTGGCTTTTTAACTTAATTTACACAGTTTAGTCTTAAAATTTTGCATAGATGAATCAAATACTAAACTTGAATCAAATGAAGGAAAATCAATGTCGGTTATAAGCCTTTGTGTCGTTTCTCAACTACTATATCGGTTAGCATATTCTGTTGTTATGTTCTAAACTGCCATTTTCTACACGCAAGATTAATAAATCATCTAAAACCTGTGTAAATGACCGTTATCAAAACTATCGAAACTCTCAGCTTTCAAACATGCAGATAGAGAGCTGATTCCCTTTACAAGAACTACCGATGACAAATCGCTATGAAAATTTATATGGTTATCATATTTCATATTTACGATATATGCCATTACATGCAAATCAACCTTATTAAAATATGCAGAATAAAAGCATACATTTAATCCAGAAATTTGTAATTAATACCTAAGTTAATTTAGACTTTAAATGTCCAGAATAAATTTAATGAACCATAAAATATTTTCAATTAAGGTATTAAGAGTTAAAGTATTTTAAGCCTATGTATTCAAATAAGTTTTCATAATATGGATCTAAAATCAAGACTATCAAATGAATATATAAATGTTTATTTCTGAGATACTTATAACCAATCCGTAGCATTAATAAAAAATAGAATCAAAACATTCAAATTAATGACCAGCAATACAGAATATTAATTATGAAAAGGATGAAATTATTTCAAATCTTAAGATAGTCAGCAGAGTTGAAATGTTTCAAAAAGTAACCAGAAATCACCTTATCTTAGAAAGTTCGTTTCATTCTCTAAATTTTGGTGATAATTAAAATGTAATGAAAAATTTATGTTTTTCAGTGCAAGTGGGTTAAATTTACTTTTAATGATAGATCAGGTCAACAGCGGCAAAGTGTAGTGCATAACCATAACTAAATTCCAGCTTGCACATAGGTATTTTCGTTAAAATGTACTTTAAGCCTACCTTATTATTAATATGATCGCCAACTATACAATATGATCTACTCTCACGAGAGATATAATAAAATCAAACATGATGCATGTGGACCTTAATCAAATCAGTAAAGGTTGAAAATTAACGTTACTGCAAAAATTAAATTTTATTCATTATTTCAGATGATACTACAGTAAATAACACAATTTACGTTTTAGAAACTTCTTATAGTAATTTAAAGTTTTATGTTACTTTCAGCTAATATGATTTCATGGCTAAAACGTAATATTAAGTCTGCTCCATTAATTCTTTCAGCTAAAATTTTATTCTATACAAGCACTGGTACAAGTAGACATAGCAGGTTCATTTGTGATAACGAACGAAAATCATATATGGTAAAATTAATGTGCATAAATATTCGTATGATATCCGGTAATCAGTTTACGGTATGAGGCTGATCTCTCCCTATCAACATATTACAGACTCAAGGAATAATTATTACAATTAGAGGAAGAGCGTTATGTTTTAAGTTTAATCGATCCATGATTGTTTACATGGTGCATGGAAATCAAGCTCTAGCAACTGCAAAAGTTGTAATATTGTGCAATGTATCCTAAATTATCATTCGCTTCAACATTTATATTAACTTCTATCACATTAGAATTACACGTATATTTAATATATTGCTGCTATATTAGCTACTGACATTGCCTTTCAGAATTAATGTTAATCAATAATATTCTGAATATTGTACTAAAGGAAATTTTTAGCGGATTACGTCTTACTTCGTAAACTGTAAAGCAACATAAAAATTAATATATTTACTATGGCCAAAAACTGTCCTCTAACCGTACTTCTTTATTTCTATTTTATTCATAGATCTGTGGGTAATGTTATTTTAAGCTATTAATTCTGCTTTCGCTGTATTAACAACTATCTGTTAAAAGATGCTGGATCGATCTAATGCACTGCTTTTTCTCAATGGACTTGTTAATCTGTGTTGGCTTCTCTTATATAGCTAGAATATGCTCTTAATCAAACTAATAATTATAATCATGCTAATGATTAATATCATTTTTTGAATAGAGGTAATAATTGTATAATAAGTAAGAGGAAGATTGTTTTAATAAAAATTTATATACGAAGTTGCATTGTCTAATGAGTACAGTATGAAAGTAGCGCATTCAGCTATAATATCAAAACAACCCCTATAGCTGTTTAAGACAGGTTATTAAGTTTGTCCATGCATTTGCTGCCTAGTCAAGTTATAACTCGTCCGCTGGCAACGATGAATTATAAGCTGACTAATCAACTTATAAATTGACATATTACCAAGTCAGTTCATAAACTATGGCCCATATATTCCGCCGTTTATAAAGTACCGAAGCAATATTAGCTGTATCATGCACTGATGTCGAATATCACCCAGTACATTCGGCCGTTTTTAGACCGATGCTTGTAATCAAATATCAGATACGAACTGACTTGTTGATACATCAGTTTATAAGTTGACAGTGGCTTTGCAGTTTATGAACGGCAAAATTTATGGGCCACAGTTTATAAACTGACTGTGCGATACGTCAATTCATAAGTCGACTAGTCACTTTATAACCTATCATTGCCAGCGGACCAGTTATAACTTGACTACCCAGCGAATAAATAGACTAGCAGAATAACCAGTCTGTAGCAATTGATAAGTCATTTTTGATAGCTCTTGTTAACAGATGTTAATTGTATAGTAGCATAGTAATAGGTAGGTTTTAATCATCTAAATTTGGAAATCAGCTAATAGTAAAGATCAAAATCTATTAATAGTTAATATAATAGTCTTTTAATTAGCATTAATTAACTACCATTAATATCTTAGTTAGCTAACTAAATATTTAATATATGTATGAAATAATGCTAATTTCTTAGTGACAATTAAGAACAATGAAGGATTAATAGTGAGCTATAACCACTTTACTACTATTAATGCTTGTATGCTACTAAGTGACTGCAATGTAAATGCATCACAATGTCCTATCACCCAATATGGAAATTCGGAAATATGCCTATGAATATGCTCTGATTTTATTATCAGTATGTCTTCAATACTAGAGTAGTAGACCATGAAGTTGTTGTGGTGTAATATAAGCAAATTACAAAGTGCTACTAATAGCCTCACTGAAAAGTTTTTACTGGTCAAAATCCTTTATTTCGCCGTATGGATAACCAAAAATTAATCGCGCGTTACTTTTGAGATTGAGTCTTAGCTCATCGCAAATATTCGTAAACCAACAAATTATCATACTCTAGCTACACCAGTATTCATTAATTGTTAGTAACGCTAATTTTAGTAAATAAAGGAAATTATCAGCAACTGTATTCTTACTACAGATACACAACGATAAATTACTTTGTATGTTATATAATAAAATTTCAACTCTTTCTTTAACGGGAAATATAGCTAAGATACAGTATCTTAAAAATAATGTATCGAATATTCATTTCTTTTTTACTCTACGTTATTGCATGCATTAGCTCTTTATCAATCTAATCTGAAAGCAAAATCTATTTCGGGCCTGCACTGCAACAAATCAAACAGGATCCCTATATTTGAGTGCTCCAGCAGTTGCAGCTGTTATAGATTACATGAGTTCATCGTTAGTATTATTGACAAATGTCAATCGGAACGCTTATAAAAACAAAATGATTCTCGTATGATAACATATCTGTTTAATCGCTTTATTCAGAAAAATAGTTCACTCAATATCTGTTTTTTTTCTTTCCTAATCATAATCATATAAGCCTATGTCAAATAAATCGTTATTAATAATCCGTTCGTTACTAGACGAATCGCCCATCATACAGCATTACCCAATTAAAAGATTTATTCATACACTAGTCATTTTTAGCAAAGAATTAGATAAACCAGCTATAATCTACTACAGCACAGGATAGAATATTTGATATTATATTAGTTATTAATGTAATGTATTAAACTAGCAACCACTCAGTAGTTGATACTACGTACGTCTTATCAGAGCGCTATCTACAGAGATGCAGCAAACAACTTGTTAAATTTAAGAATTAGTGAAACAATGAATGTTTTATCAAAAGTTAAAATAACTATACATTTCCATTGATATTAGCCATCCAAACTTCTAAATCGCACATATATGCTTTCATTCCTCTAATTTCGTCCTCATCAAACAAAAACCCGTAAAGGAACATTGTCATCGCAATTGTGAAGAAGAGTGGACAAGCAACGATAACAGCAAGCTTTATCCATTCGTTATCAGATGAATGATAATTGATGATGCCAGAAAGGATTGCTAGTGCTAAAGACAAAACAACCAGGAGACAACGATGAAAATGCCTGAAATTGGCAATTTTTACATTGTCGTCTAAAATAGCATGAGTTTCCTGCAATACTTGCATCGTTTCCGTCGGATCCCCTATAAAATGTAAACGGAAAAAGATGCACGTTAGAATTAGCGATAAATACTCTAGCAATATTGCGACATAAAAATTTATAATCGTTAAATTAGTAAAGATCCGTTCATTGGCATGTTGCAACAGCATAACTATGATAGAACCTACCAGCCATATCTTGACGTTGTCTCAATCTTCTAGCATTTAATTGAAAAGTAGCTTCTACACCTTCGTGGTCAGAATAGTTAAAGGCTGCATCTGGAATTCTGCCTAGAGTGACTTGACAAGCTTGACTTTTCAAATGGTCACCACTATATAGAATGTAATCGATTCGCTTCTCAATTTCATTTGCGGGAGTAAAGGAATTTGTCTTTGCAGCACAGGTAAACCCACTCATCTGCTATATAGAGCAAATAAAGCAACGGGCGTCAATATCACTTTGTATATTTTCAGAACAACTACACCCGGCAATTTCCTACAGTGGTAACGTTTAACGAGTCGGAATAATCAATATTATTTCTAGTATACAACATTACCCCATCACCAGCCTCGAGCCATGCATCTTTAAGATCCAGCGAAGTAGTAATAAATCGATAGCCAATGTCTTCAGGCTCAAAATTTAAATCACCAATTAAAATTACCGGGCTATTACCTGCAGTAAATCGTATTAACTGGCTCAATTGTACGATTTCAGTAACCCGATGAGGCAAGTAAACGTCATTATCTCGATTATATTCGGCATGGATCTAATCAAGGCAAGGAATAATAGGCAGCATTAATGACTATGTGTAATTTTATCCAAGCAAGTTATCGAAATTTGCGATTCATACATTCAATATGGCAATTGTTTCAGAAGTAATGGCAAGATGAACTCAATCTTACATGTGTTACATAGACATTTAATATGGTGCCATTGACATCAATTTTACAAAATCCCACGCCCTTTTTGCCAAGCCAATCGCCATGGTTTAGTGCATACGGATAACCACTTAGTGTGTATGCGGTAAAAGAGGTTGCAACAATAGGAAAACGTGAAAAGATACACTTGCCACTTCCAATTTTTCCACTGTAATAGGCCAAAATGAAATTGATTTAGTCATCTGAAATTTGTAATTTGCAGTTACAGTATATATTATCGACGTACGTCGCAAATTTAAAACTATTTTAATGAGACAAAGTACCTATAAAAGTAATGAGAGTGAGGGAAGACAGCTTTGAGAGCAACCTTTAATGCTTCATAATTTTTGATGAGCCATACCTAAAGTATTTAAAATGTTACAAAATATAATCATATCTTGTCATAAAGAGATCTATCAGCTGATTTTAAAGCGATAGTCTAAATACAAACTTCTGACATTAGCTGTTACCACTAATCATGCCCGTACTGGTAAACACGAAATATATTGTACTCGTATTTATGATTTTGATTTATTGCATATACAGTTGGTCTAAGTGATGCATAATCACATGCGTGCATAATTCGTTTAGAATATTTTACGCTAATAGTAAAAATAAATTTTTGAAACCTCTTGCAATCCAATAATGTCATAATCGCTTTGTCGTAACGCTTCAGCAAGGTACTTGAATCTTTCATCGCGATGTGGCGAAAGCGAAGACAATGGTAGACCCCTATAAAATGAATGGAATACATAGGTGTTAAGTAATAAGCTTGTATAAATAAATTTATTTGGCCATTATGAGGTACGCTTGAATCCACTAAGAGCGTAGAACACGCAATGTAACAAGTGAGCACTAATTGTAACTTTCATCCACTATCATCACGGTGTTATGTAGACACTAAACAATCTCTAACAGTAAATCGGAATCTGCTAAATCATTATTATCCCAAGCGAATACAAATCTAATCAATTAATATTAAGAGGGCACTTTGCATAATTGCTGTTCTTATCTAGTACGGTGCCAGTTGTGAATGCTGATAAAGATTCATTGCTTGTGGAGTTGTGGTTCATGTATAGCTTGATCAAGACAATATAGAATTAATTAATTGCTGTATAGGCAAATACTGCACCAGTATAGTATTGTCATAAGAGTACGCATATTGTTTTATTTTAGTTATCATCCAAAAGATTTGTACATGAACTAGCAGCTGTACTGTGCGAAAAAGATCGGGGACCGACGATCTAAACTACTATACAACATGACTCTGTTGTCGGACAGAACTATGGTCAGAACACAACGATGTGCATACCACTTACGCTGAAGAGGAAACGGATCAACAGTAATATCAGACTCCTACGAGGAAATTACTAGTTGGCAGCTGCCTACACTGTCATGATAACGATTTGGGATGAAGTCTTGATACACCATTGGAGTTATCAAGGCAGTTTCCATTATTGATGGTATCAGTGATTACAAATTGACCTTAGGAGATTGTTCAACTCGATTTTGCAGCATGAGAGTCTATGCGGATACATTAGACTGGTTCAATATGTGATATATGACATGGCCAATTCTACTGTAATGTAGTCTTTCCATAGTGGTCATTGTCAATACAAAAAGCGATAATACGCTATCTTGTACGAACAGCAGCACCAGAGCTGCTGTAGAGAGTTTTTCGTACATCGATCACTGCATCTACTGTGCTCTGCTATAACATGGCATACTGTAATAACTGTCAAAGGATAAACTGCAATATTCGATAATACTGTCGATAATTAATATTACAGAAATGGATTACTGCCATTGCAACGATGCACGTTAATCGTACATTGTATTAGCACCAAGAGAGCTAAAAATTGGAAAAATGGTGAAAATGCAATCTACGTAGACTTACCAACAGTTCAAAGTTAGAACGCGCAGTTGAACCATATCGTGTAGCTAGGAGAGTTTACAAGTTCAAAATAATGCAATATCAATCTTGTAATTTTTCACTGTTTTCAATTCAATGCACAGCGATCAAAATGAACTAGATACAGTCCTTCAGACCGTAGATATGCAGCCTGCCCGTACCTTTGAGAAGCTTGCCTATTGTCCTTTTCGGATTATGCAAAGTTGCCCAGGTAATGAAAAGCATTGGGTGTACAGTAGCCCGTACTTCGTTTGGTACAGTAGCCACTGTAAATACCACATGACTAGGCATTAACGGGGATGTAAAGGCAATAACGCCCAGCTAGGTGTATGCAAAGCAAATAAACCAAGTTTTGCTCATGGAATAATCAATATATGCTGGAGTATCTACGAGGGCAATTGCAAACGGCGATATGGTAATCGACGTGTGCAATTCCCTGCAGCCATATTACTTGACCCCAAAGCGTGATATCTCTATGTCCATGGTACAAGCTTTCATAATACTACAGTGCCCACTTAAACAGCCAACCAATCAGATGGGAGAGATCGCCGACCCACCAACACACAGATAAAAACGGACCACATAATTTTGGGAGAAAATTACTGATTTGCCACTGTACAGTGTACAGTACAGTACAGTATAATTTAATTTCATATTTACCAATATGCCATTTTAATTTCAGTATAAATTATGCAATCTGCGATAGGATAGTAATTTATACAGTATATACAGTACTGTAAGGTATATAAGAAGAGAAGTGGAAGAAGAAGATAAGATAGATAGATAGATAGAAGATAAGAAGAATATGATAGATAAATAGATAGATAATAATGACATCGCTAAAACCCGACCTCGGCTAAATGCAGTCATACGGTATTCATAAGAAGGGCGAGCTCCACCCATCTTAGCCAGGGACTGTAAGAATAAGAAATAATTAATAGTAGTAATTAATTAACTACTGTACACTGAGTGTACACATTGTTGAGCAGGAAATTTTTTCTGATACTGTACAGTACCGTGTACAGTTCAGTAAGTTACTGTCTTGGCTCCAAAATTTACTGTTGATCATTTTGGACTAGCAAACTGTAGGTTGTAGACGAAGACAGAGACTGCTCAATGAGCAATGCTCATAGACAAGATCCTTTGTCTTATGAGGAGTCCTTGACTAAGATAATCAGCCTATCACTCATACAATGCTGTAGCATCGATTCTCCTGTAGAAATCGTCAAGAATCATAGTATGAAACTACTAGATGTACATTATACAGTACTTGATATGGGATAAAAATGAGAAAACGCTTGGTCTACCGAACATCTCCGCCGGACTCAACATACAGTACCTAAGCTGTAACTATGAGACCGAGCTGAATCAGCTACACTTTACAGCAGTGAATGCATTTCCGCATTTTTATCCACCTTACACCATACGGAAAGGAAACAACATTAGAGTTATAGGAGCAACAAATGAAAATTGTGATGCAACAACTAAAAAAATTGCCATCATCTGACTCTAATTCTACAGTACAGCACTACAGTATGTTATACTGAAGTGTACAGTATGTACTGTAAATATGTCGAACAGTAGTGGATTGCACCATCCTCGGTGTCCGAGCGTCCGAGCCAAGCGCTGTAGTAGAAATTTTAGAGAATGCGCAATGTGTAAAATAGATGTCGTAGCATGTCTAAATACGACACTACACTATGCTCGATACATCGTTGTAAACGACAGTGTATGAACGACATCTATTTTGCATAGTATGGTGAATGCTACATACAGTACTGTACACTATACAGTATCGTACTGGATGGGTGTTGGTTTGACAACGTTGAACCCACGCCATATTGGTCTGTATCAATGACTAAATACTGTCTGTACTATGGATTCAAATGGCGGGAAATTTGAAAGCCGATGAATGTACAAAACAGTACGTACATTCGAGTACGAACGACATTGTCAAACACGTCAGGCGGAAAGACGACGTGTCCAGTCAAGTCACTCACTGAATTGGACGTTGCCATACAGATTGATTCAACAGCGTCCGCTTAGGGTGGAATTGCGAAGTCCTGAGCGATTGTCAACGAATTTTCAAGAACTAATTCAGGTAAGTTAATAGCATTTAAAATTTTTAGAAAGTAGAAAGTACCAAGATAACTTGAGTCAACAACATTTCGCCATTTCCATGATTTGTGTCTATCCTTAATAAACAGTAGAGAGATGTTTGATTTCGTTCAATGTCTATGACAACTGTGGAGAGTCAATGACTGTCCATTGTATTGGCATGAAAAAAAATAGTCATACTGACTGTCTACTGTAGGTTGTGAAGTATTCCTACAAGCATTCATTTTATACTCGACAGCAGTTTTACTTTGATAAATTAAGATTTCAAGGTAGTAAACAGTAAAATGACAACCCAATGACCTACCAGCTCACTGGTTGACAACTCCATTAGTATTGCTTTTAGCCTTTTTCTTACATACACAAGAATTTCTTTAACCAATGGTTTAATCATTCACTTAGTGAAAGGAAACGTAACACGAAAGTATACTTCATGCTGTACTGTACCAGCAATGACTGGACTCAGACTTGTCTTAATACTTCTTACCTTAGGTAGGATAACTATTTTGCATAAATGCATAACCAAGCCTAATTTCCATCTTGAAGACGTGCTACTTGGCTAAACTCTTTCTACGTCATGATCAATTAATGGTAAGCGAGATATCATAAGCTAATCTGAGATAACTGATCATTCAATAAATTGTGTTATACATCGTTTACATGTCGAGAACGAATTAAGACATACTGTACTGATCAAGTCACAATGGAAGCTTTGAATCCTATTAATTCATACATGATAGGATTTAATAAATATATGTACCTAATCAATCAAAAACATGACAAAGAATGAACTTTCACTTGTTTCACTCAGTCGTCTGGTATTCTTGCCTACATTTGTATATATATATATATAACATGCAGTATAGACTTCATAGACACTATGTAGCAAGGAATACTGTACTATATGTATCGATTCCGTCGTTAAATAACTTTATCGACGACTGATTATCGTTAATACTATCATACTAATTGTCCTCGTTTATTCTATCTCCTTGAGATCCAATTTCTCTCACCTTCATGGTTGAAAATTGAAATTTACTTGCTACCTCTTGGATGAAATGTCCTTAGCAACAACAATGAAATCTTTAAAAGTTCGCCGCCGTAGTAATGGTAACAGCAGGTATAGAGAAATTAAATCCAACAGTCCGCAACAATCTCTTAGCATCAATGAGCCAACTTTAGAAGACCTCAGGTTACGTTTATAGCCTTCAAACCTTCCATACTCGTATTACTATACCGTACATGGTATTATTTTCAACTGATGGTTCTAGTGAAAATAGAATTTATTTATTTTGGAATCTTAAATCTCATATACTTTAAAGCTCAATCCAACTCTTTCTTTATTTTGCCATTACAGACAAAGTCAGTTAAGTTCAACTCCTAAAGCTAATAATCTCCAAACAATATCAAGTTCAAATGAGGTCAATGACGTAGAGCTCTCAGATTTGGCAGATAGAGGTGAAAGTGCTAAAGCTGATAATAATAAAATGAGCACTCCAAGATTTTCAACTAGTAGCAGTCTCCAATCAGCTACTAATAATTCAAATAGTAAAGATAAAACAAAGGAATCTTGCATATCAGAAGTGATAGACCTAACTGTCGGTAGTGAAGTGAATGAAAATCATACCCCAGTTTCAGCAGATATTACAAATGCTGACAGCCTGCGTGAGTGCGCTAATGCAGAGAATGAGGTGAAATATACACCCTACTCGAACAAGAAAGATGTTGAAAATCAGCTAGACGAGAACAGTTTAGAGTCTTCACAAGATTTATTTTCCGATACCCAATCGTTAGAAAATTTCGACTTTGACTACGCAGACTATTTTTCGCCCCCAAAATCGCGTTCACCTGCATTTCTCGATTCGGAAAATTCCAATAATGATGAATTAGAGCATAACTTTAAAGAATATGATAATAGTCAAGATCTGAACAATACCCAAAAAATATTAACAGAGAAATCGACTAATCGAAACAATCTACTACTTACTGATATATCCAACAAGTTACCCGTAAATGGGGAAGAAATAAATATTCATCTGTCTAATTGCTCGACGGTTCTGAAATGTAATCCATTAAATGAAACGAATAAGAATGTCGTTGGTAATATGATACAAAATTTAAATAATTTAAAACTGAAAATTATGCAAAATATTTGCGATATTGTAGAATACTTGGATCAGCAACATCTCATTTCACAATGTCAGGATTTTGATGTTGATAAATTTAGACATTTATTATCAATGCGAAAGCAATTACATCAAAAAGGTTGGGACTTTGAGCAGAGATTATCGACTCTAGAAGCTGAAAGTCGCAGTAAGTTAGCAGCTAGTCCATTTCACTCATCACCTATGACTCATCAAGTTAGTAGCAGATGTAACTCCAATGATGGTAGTGGAATAGATCAGCTTGTAATACCTTCAGACTCTGATGATGCTTTCGATTTACCTGACTTCTCCTTGGCCTGTATTTCTGATGCTCCTCAATCACCTCCCGCTATCGATAACAATTTAATGGATGATGTCATTTTATCAGATTTTGTTAACAATAATCACAATGATGATGGCGATGACGATGTTTGCGCAGTTACTACTGGAGATTCAAGCAACCATGCCAATTTAACCACAACTAATCAAAACCAGGACCTTGGTACTATCACTACGGATGGAAAATGTAAAATCCGTGAATTAAGGTGTAATAATCATCACTTTTCAAATAAAATGAAAGAAATATTTCGTTCCAAGTTTGGTTTACACAAATTTAGAACTAATCAATTAGAAGCTATTAATGCTGCTTTACTTGGATACGATTGTTTTATTTTAATGCCTACTGGTGGAGGCAAAAGTTTATGTTATCAGTTACCTGCCATTGTCAATGATGGAGTAACGGTGGTCATATCTCCTTTACGATCCTTGATTCAAGACCAGGTTCAAGGACTTCTTAACTTAGATGTAAGTGGATTACCATATTTGTAGCGTAAATTATTTGTATTTTCTAGTAATGATCTTGCTATTATACCATTAATGACATCATCGAATGGATCATCGTGCTTCATTAAACTGCATTTAAATTGATGATATTTTCCAGTTTCCTGTAGGTCAATTCACAGGAGAAATGACCATGAAGGAGAATAACGAAATGTACCAAGAGTTATATAAGAGGATACCAAGTATTTCATTGCTATATCTCACTCCTGAAAAGGTCTTTACCACTTGAAGATACATTAACAGTTAATACGTGAAATTCAATTTCAAATTTTTCTGATATTGTTTAATTTCTTTTCACTCAGTTAAGCGCTAGTAGTAAACTCCTATCCGTATTACGTAGTCTACATCTCCGGAAAATGCTTAGTAGATTTGTAATTGATGAGGCTCATTGTATATCTCAGGTAACAACTTATGCTAGCTGTAATGTGATAACGATACTGTATATTTTTCAAGGTACATAAAATTATATTTGCTAACTATGAAAAGGCAGTTTATGCATTTATAATATTTCTTGCACTTATTTACAGTGGGGTCATGATTTTCGTCCTGACTATAAGAAATTGTCGGCAATTCGAGAGAATTTTCCTGGTGTACCGGTGATGGCCTTAACTGCTACCGCTACACCTCGTGTACGTAAAGATATTTTAAATCAGTTGAAGGTGCCCAATCCAATTTGGTAAGAACTGTTTAATCAAATTAATATTAACTACTAGATTGCATGCAAAAATTCGTACCCACTAATCATTCATAACAACTCTTGCGGCGTGGAAAGGTTTGTACAAAGCTTTAATCGACCTAACTTACAATACTCCGTATTACCGAAAAATAAATGCACTGCGCAGGAAATTATCAAAATCGTCAATAGTCAATTTCGTAACGAATCTGGTATTGTGTATTGCTTATCACGAAATGAATGTGATCGTGTCAGCTCCACTTTACGTGAAGCTGGGATTGCTGCTCTTTCATACCACGCTGGTCTTGACGCAAAGGAAAGAACCAATGTTCAAAAACGGTGGATTACTGAAAATCGTTGCAAAATTGTGTGCGCAACTATTGCTTTCGGGATGGGAATCGATAAAGCTGACGTTAGATTTGTCATCCATTATTCTCTTCCAAAATCCACAGAAGGCTACTATCAAGAATCTGGACGTGCAGGTCGTGATGGAATGCTAGCTAAGTGTATTCTTTTCTATACTTATGGGGATGCGTGTCGAATTAGACGAATGATCAATTCAGAAAGGGACCAAAATCAGGAAACTAAACGTGTTCATCTAGATAATCTTTATCGAATGGTTCAATATTGCGAAAATGTGTCTGATTGTCGACGTGTTCAACTATTGGAATACTTTGGTGAATCTACTTTTAAGAGGGAAACTTGCCGTAATAACAGAGCTACATCTTGTGATAATTGTTTATCAACGGAACTTTACAAGACCGTTAATATGACTCAGGATGCAAAAGCTATTATACAGTTCGTAACATCCATTGACGTTGGACAACCTACGAATAAAGGACGACGGAGAAGTTTTAACTTTAGCCAGCGCTATACACTAAATCATGTAGTGGATGTATTTAAGGGATCATCATCGAGTCGTATTGCTCAGGCTGGTCACAACGAAAGTAACTTATTTGCTCGTGGAAAGAGCTATACTAAACATGATGCGGAACGTTTATTACGTTTGATGGTATGCGAAGGGTATTTACGAGAAGATTTAGTTGTAGGCCACCACGATAATGTGATACTGTATGTAGGAATTGGGCAAAAGGCCAATCAAATCCTCAGCAATAGCCAAGAGGTATCAACCAATTGTAAATTGTTATCAATGCGCAAATTATGGGATGATAACCTTTCGGGTAATTTAAGATCTTAATTCATTTATTTACTGACATGTAGATCCTACTGCCGATAAGGCAAAGCAAGAAATTGGATAAATCAGTCGGAAAGAATGATACCCAACAAACACGCCATAATTTCGACATGTACTACAAAGAATTAGTTAATACTTGCAAGCAGCTAGGATTACAACACAACATGACACCGCAGAACATTTTTAGCTTCGCAACTCTACGCGAGATGGCAGAAAAGCAGCCAACGTCTGAAGAAGAAATGCTAAAAATAACTGGCGTCACAAAGACTAAATTAAAGAAATTTGGACCTTACTGCTTAAAGGTTATTGATCAGCTATCCGTTAAAGCACGAAAAAAAAGTCAATTGAATATTAGCGTTGAGGCGGGGACACTAGGTATACAACTTGTTTTTATATAATTATTTGATCGAATTAATATTTAAGGATATGGTCATTCGCGTTTAGGTAATTCCCGTACTGATCGAGAAAATTCGAGCGAAAATAATACTATGTCACGCTATTTTCAAAAGTCTCAAAATTCTTCGAAGCAACCCTCTCCATTAAAACGAAAGCGAAGAGGTAGCGAGATTATCTCTCGGCTTCTTTAATTGTAATCGCTTAATTATTGAACCATGTCATTTAATCCCTAGATAATACAAAGCAAGCTAACAAAAGGCCAAAGAAAAATACTGTGCAATCAGACGGAAAACCCAAAATAGCTAGATTATTGATTAATTAATGTACTATGCTGTAGCTTTGAGTCCCTACTTTAATCAAACGACAGTCAATCTCTAAGTATTATATATGAATATACAATACAGTTAACGCAGACTTTCACAAAAGGATTATGTCTACAACGGCAAGAAAGTAGCTCGACAAATGCACTAGATTACATCATACGCAATATAAGCTTTAAAATAACTGTAATTACGAAACTTCAGAAGTTATAATTTTCCAAGAGTGCATTTGGTGTTTACTGTCATTTTACGTGCCTTGCTTCGTAAATATCACGACTCCAGTACTGCACTGATTTTTATCAAATGAAGACCGATTTATATGTTTAAATTTGCAATATTGAACAAAATTTTATATATCTATATATGCATATTTTATAAGTTATCGTTATTGGAAAAAAATGAATAAGAACTAAATCGAAATCATTTCGTAACAGCAAATTGTATAATTGTAAATTTGTTAGAATTTTGAAATATGATTTTGTGCTATATTAAATAGCCAATTAAGAAAAAATATTAATCATGGTGGTCAAGAATACGAAATATACGAGTTGAAATAAAAATGAAATATTTCTAACCTATGCAGCAAAGGAATCTATCTCAAGAAGGATTCAAGCTTTATGTGTAATGAAATATAGGGCGAAAAATGTTTGCCTCGCAGCTTTCAACCAAATCTTGTTTTAGGTAGGATATTTTTAAGGGAGGCAGAAGCTATTTTAATTTACTGACATACCCAATTACATGTAAAAACGCCACATTATTTACTAGTAGCTCTGTTATAGAACATCTTATTCGGAATGCAGGCAACTCTTTCATTCTGCACTTGGTTATAATCTCATTGATGCAAATGTACTGAAAACGTACTGTAATTGTCATAGTAGTGAAACCAACCAAGGTTTGTTGTTGCGGGAGAGTAAGCGAACTGAGTGCATAAAATTTTAAATTAGTTTAATATGTACGCCGACACAGCTCATAGCAACCAAATCTTTGTACTAATTTAATATGAATCTTTCATATAGTTAGTAACCTTTCAAAAAAATGTATAGAATTTGAAGTAAAAATAATAAATCTTATCCTAATACCGAATCTCAGCGACGAAACATTCAACATAATTTTCTTAGATAGAAGCATATCCTGTAAAAATATTGCTCATGGATATTGCTCAGAACATTACTGTAAATAAATCGAAAGATGATCTAGTTTCTCAACATCATTTCTAGTTTTATGATGCTTAATAGAAAGAATTTCAATTTCTTATTCGTCTGTCCTTGAATGATTTCCGAACCTTTAGAAAGTCTAACTGTAAATAGCAATTCTATTGCTATAAATACCCCTGATACTATAAGAATATTGTTATAAGCCACTAATCCTACAGCACTGCAGCTAAAATTTCTTGCAATTTTAATCATCTAATTATATATCTAGAGTGTGATCCAAAGTAGTGTAAATATGCAATGTAGAGTTAGTGCTTTTAATTTAATTCCTGAAACAATTTAGTACTATTACATCTAATTAATTAATATTGTAATTTTTACTAGTATTAAACATTGCAGGTCGGAGAGAAATTAAATTTAATTAGTAAATTCAAGTGCCCAATGAACTTTAATAAGATCAATTACTCAACAGAAAGTGTTAGCACGAATCAATAAATTCGATCTGAGCTTTTTTTCTCTCTTTTTATGCATGAAAAACGCTACTACTAGCTAAACTTCTAGAACTGTATCTGAAATTAACGACAAAGATATAGCTTTATTTATGGGGTTGCTCTCTGCTTTGCTATTTAATTAATGGCGGATCGGATTAAGTGTCGGTAATCCTTTACTCTAATTCAAGTCATTAATGATTAAGGTTCAAAATGGCTATCAGAGTATTTTATACAATAATATTAAAGTAGATTGTAAAAGATTCCTCCACTTCTCCTCCAAGCTCGATCCTATAATTATTCATTCAAATAATCTTAAACAGCGATTTTCATTTATTTTATTAAAGCGGATATGATGAAGGTTGATAAATGTACTGAAATTAGAATATTTTCATTTGCTCATAGAGAAGCTCTCAACTACTTTGGCAGTCAAAAGATCTATGCTCCTACTTTTTCAATATTTATTGAAATGATGGAGTTATAATAGGAAAGTGCTATAGTTTTTAAATTCGTGCGTTTATTTGTCATTAATTGGCTACAATGCAAGCCGATCATGATAGCATCATAGCTATTTGGCCGAATTATTACTGAAAACCTTTATTAGCGCTCAAAATTAAGCATCAGTAGCCACTTTTGTAATCTTTGGTTAAATCTTCTTTTTACTGGCATATAAATTGCATGAAGTAATAATTTCGGATATGCAGTAATTATCGTATTTTAATGTCTGAATTCAGCAGTAAGTAGCTCATTATAATCTATACCAAAGACATTCCATGCTAAAAGCCGGGACTAATTTTCAACGAAATGATTTGCTTCTCTATTCTGTTCAAATTTAAAAATATTTACGATAATTTTCAGATTGTTTCCAATCTAATTATAAATCAGCAGCTGGTACTGTTATGTCGTACATCACGAAATATTTTCAATTTTCTTCATAATGAATTTTGGCAACTAGATTATTTTATTAAAATCTGTAAGTTTCTGCTACATTTTTTTTAATTTTCTCAAAGGTATTCTTGAACTCCATACCTAAAATTAAACCCAGAAGTTTAAATACTTCAAATTTGATTATTTAGTATCAAGTATTTTCTTGTAGCAGTAAATAATGGTGACTAATAGAGGGAGTATTTCATTGGTACGAAACAAAAATCGATTAATTTACCATTAACGTATATTAAGTATTAAAATACATTATAGTACCAACATATTTTTCCCTTGACTATAGCTGTGGTATTAGTCACTGTATATACTGTATATATTATTATTAGTGCACAAAGTCATACTATCGTCTCATTTCCATATGGATTTTATTGTTAATAAGCCATATGTTTTACTAACTCAGCTGTCAACTTTATTCCTTGCATAGAGAATTATATCTATCATATTTTGCTTTGCTAACGGCATCATATGATTATTTCTGCCTATGTTAGAAAAGAGTTGGAACTGGAAAGAAATTTAGCCAAAGTGTTTACAATACATTATTATCAATTTGATTCAAGGTAAGTAGATTGATTTAATCCATCCTTTCATTCAAGAGTTTTTATTACAGATCCTAGAATACTGTATACTACGGAAACATGGATTTCTTCTATAATTTCAGTATTATATGAAGTCCACGTCAATCATCTGATAGCAAAAATTAATTTCAATTTTGGCCATCTTTACGGGGTCCTTTTCATTATTTACTACGGCAAATCAAATTACAGATTTAGGGTTATCTGTAGTAAGAAAATCTACTTATAAAAATGCGTTCACATATTGTACTATCGTCAATTTAGATCTTCTGTCCTGTAAGACCTATCAAATATGCCATAAATTAATAAGATATCTATACAAGGATTCCACTTGCACTAGATGCTACAAAATTTGATATCTAAATTATATAGTTAGCCTTTAAATTGGCCTAATAGGTTTGCTTTCAGATGAATAGCATACTTTCACAGAAGATAGTACTCATCATATAACGATACTTTTATACCACCTGTATATCAAATTAGAGATGCTAAATAATAATCTATACTAATTAATAGCTTATAAATGTACCAATTTATCCTTGCATCCCATTTTTAAATTTCTCATCTCTTGTATGCAAAATGAAATTCAGCTACTGCGTAACAAACGAGTAGCTTTCAATTTATCCCCAAAATTTCATATGCAGACTATAATAAATGCAGTCTGCCAATTATCTTAGCTTCTTTTCGTGACACTTTTGGGTTTCAATTCTTTATCTTTAATAGCAATTAGAGATTATTTAACGTTTATTTTTTAAGCAATTCTTAATTTCTTTAACGATACCTAGTATTAATTTTATATAAGAACAACCTTGAATATAAATTCCTTAAACTTAACTTCTTATCAAAGTAAGCAAAGCGAACGATAAATTACAATAGCTACTTTACAATTAAGCTATACGAGGTAAGCAAGCTTGGGTCAATTTAATGAAATACCAGCAAAAGAGTAGATATTATTACATAATACTGATCGAATCTATACAGGCTTGCAATATAAAGCAGTTAGTGTGTTAAAAATGATATCCTATTTGCTAAAGATACAGCATGTCCTTACTCTATTTTAGTAAAGTTGGTAAACAAAATATTTACTTTGAAGTCCTTGCAATAGCATGCAATAGTTGTAATTAAAGAAATATAGAGACAATTTCGTTAAAATACACAATTCACTCTACAGTTATGAAATAAAGGTACGTACGATTAAAATTTCTTGTAGAAGGAAATTTTATTTTCGGTAGGGTAAAATATGTTTAATTTTTTATTATTATAGTTTGTCTTTTTATGTTACAGTTCAAGTTTTTGTATTGCTTTATAGTACTGTAAGTTGAAATATGTCAGTTTCTAATGTAATTTCTATTAATAAATATTTATATCGACAAATTATTTACTGTATTTCAGGAAACCGTAAGCTTCAGTAGTTAAAACCTAAATTAAAGAATTCAGTTTATATCGATATCCAGCAAGATAGTGGTTTATTTTTATAATTATTGATCATATACGCGTAGTCTTGAACTAGACATTATCAATGCAAAAAGCAGCATTTAACATTAAGTTCCTTAAAGTTATAAACTTGATCTGTTATGTCGTTAACATTCGATGGACTCTCTATGTTGAAATTAGACAAGCATCACAAACTCTACCTTCGCTTTTCCTGTTACTTATTAGAATATTCGAGAAAAGACAATACCATGGCCGCGTTGAACAAAATTAATTTTGAATTTCCAATGTGGGAAAACGTTGACTGGCCTAAGCGAGAGGATGAAAAAGATGAGCAAGTCAAGGAATTGCTAAGCGAGAGTGAACAAGAAGTAAAAAAGGAACCGGATCAAGATAGTAAGTCTTGCATGCCATGTCAAGGGTTCTAATTTAACGGATAATTGGAATGTTGCTTCTTTAGATACACCTTTAACTAGGCTAATGAGTAGCAATTTACTAAAAGAGGTGCGAAATTTAAAATAGTATAATGGAAGTCAGAAAAGGATAGACTAGCCAAGTTATAATATGCACTTTGTTGATTGCAATTTGATGTACATCAAATATCCAATTCAATCAACTAACTATCTAAGAGAAGCCGATCAGAATAGCGTTAAAAAATAGTCAAGAAATAAGTCATTACCGTATTCCATACTGTTAGTTTGCATTTCGTAGCAAAATTTGGCATCACTTGACTAATACGGTCATAAAAGACTATAAAATCCATTCTGTTTATGGCATCCATTGCTCGCACGAAACATCGCGCTGTAGTTAAATGATGGAAAGAAGTAATTAGGGGATAAAAGGGAATGGCAACCTTGCTAATAACACTTATCGTTTGAAAAAATTGTTTATATAAAATCCCTCTGTCGCGATCAAGTGCTGTTCTTGACCACAAACGCAAAGTAATTATTGTACCTGCGTAAACCCATTACTAGACTAATATTAGCCATTCCAATCGAAGAGAATCTTAGTATTTCAAAATAAATTGTTTGGTAAAATAGATTTTTGCCATCGTATAAAAGAGTAATGCTGGTACTGCAATCATGGGGCGTATTTTCCATCTCCATCAACGATAGCTATTTTGATACGCTGTATTCCCTCAGTTAAGTCAGCCCATAGAATACAGCATGTAGTAGCCATCGAAATGGCTAATAAGAATAATTGTAGATATCGTTAAGTGTCCTAAATGCTGTAATCCCTAGTTATGTAAGACCTCTCTACATGCTCCAGTTTATGATTCACGGCTTGATGTTTTGTGTGGGACTAGTTGCAGTTAAAGAAATTTTGTATCATTTTGTGGGGCATGTTCAAATTGATTACCCAGGTTGATCCCATTAAAAATGCTGTCTAGTTTAGTATACCCGTAAGCAACATTCGCGTGAAATATTAGTAATACTAAATGCTGTAATCCCTAGTTATGCAAGACCTCTGTACATGATCCTGCATATGATTCATGGCCTGGTGTTTTGTGTGGGACTAGTTGCAGTTAAATCGATTTTGTATTATTTTGTGGGGTATATTTATATTGATTACTCAGGTTGATCCCATTAAAAATGCTGTCTAGTTAATTATAGCCGTAAGCAATATTGCGCTTGAAATATGCGTGATAACCGCATGAGAATGCAATTAGCTATCCATTAATAATAAGTAAAGTAACGTTTCAATACGCCAAGTAGAACGAGCGAGTTATATTGTAGTTTATAATGACATAGACTACGTTATGGTACAGTCTAGCATAACCGTACAACCACACATTAATCGATGCTGGCATTCACCTTGGCTGCGTTCCCAAGTTTTGAATTTTTTGGATAGGAAGACTGTCAAGATTCCTCTCAATTTTAGCTATAGCCAGTACACGCTCAAGGTGCGTCTATCAATAAAGTATTAAGTCATGACTAAACAGCCCATTGTCCCTCCAAGTATCCCCTAAAATCATAATATTAATAACAATAAGTGGCTAAACTCATGGAAATTCCACGGAATAGAGTCCAATTTTGAGTTATTAGACCGAGAGAATCCGGTTTAGGAACGCGAATTTTTAGTCAAATACTCCTAACAGCGTAAGACACGTACAATCCGCTCGAGTTCACCATGATCTCTAGCAGCTTACTCTACCCTACTTCACTCTACCAATTTCTAATTTGAACATTAAACTGTGGTCAGTCGATACTCCATTGGAACTGTTTTTGTCAATGTGAAAAGCAAATTATGGAATAATAATCCCAAGCAACTGTTGGTTTTTCTTTTCGTACTCCATAGTTAGGAAAGACATTTTTGACAAATTGGCAGCGCAGCCCGGTCCCGATTTGGGACCGGTACGATTTTGATGTCAATGTCAATCAACACAGCCATGCATGCTACAGTGTACAGTACTTTACTCTTTCAGTCAACTTGAGTCCATCGCACTCAAACTGTAGAGTACGCACTGTAGAGGAGAGAAAAACAAGCGTATCGGTACACTTCCAGTACACAACCGCTAGACAGTAACAAGTTCCATTCACTACATCACTCCATATAGGCGTGACTCAGGGAGGCAATCCATTACTCGTTATCACCATGCTTGTACCGAAGGGCTGGATGGGCGCGGCACCCCATCATTGCGTCAAAACATTGTACTGGACGATAACGGGATTCTTGTTATTCTTCTTGTAGCCAATGAACAATGTTATTGATTAGACGATTATTACCGTTATAATTATGAGTATTATTAACACAGTTGGATTATTTGCTGATGTATTCCATTGGCAAGCTGGGATAATTTAGCTTTCATAATTTTGTTCTTGGCCATTGAATCGCTTCACCAGTTATTGCCATCATGCGTAAATCGTTTCGTTTAAGAAAAGCCAAATCCAAAGGTAGGTGCAAAATTGTGATAGCCATGTAAAATGACCAGTGTTGATGTTGCAACGGCAAGATAACGATGATCGATGCGATCATGAAGGAAGATCATGGTGATGAGAATAAGTTTTCTTTCATTGAAAGCTATCCATCGACTATCTTTATGGTAGGTAATCTACCTAAACATGACCTTCTATGCTGTATCGAAACAGTGGATCCAACGTGCAACGATGATCGACGACGACCAGACGCCAATTCCCGTCAACACTCTATTCAACGGCCATCATCATCAAGGCTGTACGACTTAGTTATGGTTATCTTGCAATCGATTCATTTCCTTCATTAGGTTGTAATCGATCTTGACCGTCCATCAACAACTTTGTTGAAATATGGCCTGTGATACAACGACGGCGATGATACAATCGTTGTAAAAGTCAATCACGCCCATGAAGATAGCCTACAGTAGTCCCTGATCGACTTGTATTAGATGAGAATTGGTAGGCAGGCAATCGATTAGGAACTGGAGAGACATGATTATTTTTGTTTTGGGGGAGAATTTGCGGGAATTATCATCTCCTATACATTATCGCTTAAATGAGAGAAATAGTTTGGACAATAACGGGTTAGCCTGCAATTTTAGGCCTGGGAAATATTTTTCAATTTTTTGGATAATCGATAACAAGTAGATTAAACGACTACAAGGAAACATCCAACACCATATTATTTTTACCTTTGCATCATCAATATTCCTTTCCATCGACATACTATACATTTGTAATGTACGATACAATCTTATCAAATTCATTAAATGTCAGAGAAAATGATCGCAATGAAACCGTTTGGAAAACCATTCTATCATCGTTCGACGTGATATACAGTACTGTACTGTACATACTTTTCATGTTTGCTAGAGAGATTTCTCAGCTTTACAACGTATTATCATCTTCTATTTTTTATCGATTTGCCATTGTGTATACAGATCTATTTTCCATTAACTAGACGTTCACTTCATCACTCAACATCTTTTCATCGAGTTTCCTTGCATCTACTGTACAATAAAATAGTTTATTCCTCTTATCAATCACTCATTTTGGTGCGTGCTATTGGAGATTATTCTATTCCAATGCATTTTCTATATTATTATTTCGTCATTGACCACAGAACCAATACGTCAAGTTATATTCAACTTGATCATTCTTCTACTTTCTTGCTACTTTTAGCCGATAAACTCGATGCTACTGGTGATACAGATATCAAAGACATCACCGGATCGACTTTATCACTACCTGCAGACTCTCCAAAAAAGAAAAAGTGGTATTCTTCGATAGGTAAATCCAAATCCAAGAAGAAATTAGAATCACCAAACTCCGAATTACCAACTAACCATGAAACTAACCATGAAACTAATGGATTCGCTGATGATTACCATGACCTCAATCACGATGTCCACACTGAAATATACCAAAATGAACCGCGAGCTGGTGGCAGTAATGCTGCGACTAACAACGGAAACACAAGTCCTACCAAAAAAACAAAGTCTAAATTTACATTCAATTCTAACAATCATCATGCTAGCAATGGCCAAGAGAAAGAAAGTAATGTTCGACCACGAATTGATAGTACTAGTGCACCATTAGCCGGTGAAGACACCGAAATTGGCAATAGTCAAAATGCTTCCCCGTCTCCAGTACACCGTAATGGAACACCTGGGGCTGAAGCACCAACAAATTCATTTTTCAGCTTTTTAAGCGGAAGTCCAACGACTAAAGAACCCAAGCAAAATCATGATGGAAGCGACGATAAGGTAAGCCAGATCAATCTAGGTCAACAATTTGTCTTTCATATTACGATCGTGTTATTACCCTCGCCCAACTACTTTAATCTATTACATAATTAATGATCCAAATGAAATGACCGCCTATCCCTTTGCTTTGCCATGATGACCTTTTAATCGACAGGAATATCGTATTGGACATTTAAAAATGCCTGAATTTTTCTTTGAACCGCTAACATTTTGATAACACATCACTGTGCCAATGAGTTGCTGTTATGACAAGCACTTTCAATCGCTTTCTTAATGTCTTTTTTAAGCCCTCAAAAAAAAAACGAAAGACGATATTCACAAATGTTATATGTAGCGATACATCATGTCGTTGCTTGAGAGGTTTAAAGTTAGCAATATTCGAAATGGTAATTCCCTCATACCCTCATGTAAGATGAACACAAACTAAAACTATCATGATTTTATGACAACAATTTTTTTACCCTACATATATCTTTATTTTCCCAATAATGATGAGATCCTTCTAAACTACTCGATCGATATCAGTCACCGACATTGGTCTCGTATGCGTACAGATTTAAAAAGCTCCAATAGCAATGATAATTCAATTTAATAAACAATACTATTCAATAAAAATCTAGAGATAGAGAAACAAAGCAATGGTTGACAGTGAAATGAGTAGAATTTAAGTCAGTTTATCATTTGACTTGATAACGGCTTATTTCTACTCATACAGAATAATATTATCACTCCAAATTTACTACATATGTTATTTGACCTCCTGCTGAATTTCTTGATCGCATACGTGCAGTGCCAAATGTCTGCATCGACGTTTCTATACGACCAACTGACTCACAATTAAAAATTAAAAGACTAATAATGGCATTAGCAGTATTTCCTTAATATCTATCTCTCTATTCGTTATGTAGTTGACTTTATGAATCAAAATAGGATATGGTTAAATAGTTATGTCATCTAGAATACTACGTTAAAGTGTGAATTTTTTTGCCATGTATCATTTCATGTTAACACCCGTGTATGTTATCAAGTTGAGATCTGCTTGTGCATTAGCTAGAAGTAGTTATCAAGGAAGAAAACCTAGTCCTAGTAAATAGGTTTAACGGATACTGAGAAACACGGCTGTAGTGGCGACACTGAAATCGATCAATTCTACATTAAAATAAAGCCAGTGCTGTGCTGGTAATGACAGGGATGTAATCTATCAAAATTCCTTTTTCTATCCGTTCATTATTAGTATTAAACTCCATCATGGGTCATTAGTCATTGGCAATTTATATCATTCATTTCTAGTTTATGTTAATACACCCTATATTTTATTATTAATGAGAAGCTAATGTGGTTAAGGATAATCTAACTTTACTGCAGTATGATTAACCACTAGAAGCAAGAGTGATTTTAAAAAGAAATCCTTCAAAAGTTCTATTGCATTCAATATAGAATATACTTTTATAGATTGAGTACTCGACAAATAACGATGCTCTTTCGACAATTAATCAATAATTGCTCAACTACATTAAATTGACCTGTATTTTATGACAATAATTTATAGTTATGGATCACATGAATCAATCTACAGTCAATCTTCCCCTCCAACTCTATTCCTGTTGCAATGATAAAATAGAAATAGAGTTGTTTATGCATAGAATATACGAGGCCATTGACTGCCACCAAGACAATGTCGGCAATCTAGTCGTGCCTAATAATAAATATTAAGCAGTAATTAATGAATTACTCATCAATAGGTGAAAATGAGCATAATTAAATGTTTTCTTGTTTTTTATCGTGCGCACGACTTAAATTTCCAGTTAACAGATTCCTATTACGACAAAGTTTATACACTACATTGGCTATGAAGACATCAAAAGTTAATAATTGTACGTTAAAACTACAGTATACTGATCACTATTTCAACTATTTATTTGATGCATTTACTTGGTTTAAAAAGATCTCTTCAAAGTGATTTATTGCATTTTTTATACCGTATAATTGAATCACGTTACAATTCCTTTTTCATATTAATTAATTAATGGCCTTATTTTTGCTTGTAATTGTATCTACAAACGGTACTACAAGCTCATCTTACTCCAATTTGATGTTGTGTGAAGTAAGAATAAATACAGTAAAGCGATCAGTGATAAAAAAATAATTCCAAGCATAGGGCTTATAGGAATAGACTTTACTAGGATAGAATATGCAATAATGTTAAAAAGCAGGTCTTATCCAGGTTAAAATAAGATGATTGTATCTTTTTTGGTCATGCCTGCAGTTTATAGCAAGTACTTACAATTCGTATCATTATTCGTATTACTCTGCTGATATCACAAAATAAAGTATGGAGGTACATTGACTACTAGGCAAGCAGACACAGCAGTACGGTATCTTTCCGGTAGCCTAGAACAGATTAAAGCTCCCTTATTTTTTGAAATACTTCCGTCTTCAGATGGAATAATTATGATCATTGAGTACTAGTAAATGGGGAAGAGGATCCAAATTATTAATACTATTTCTCAAAATCACATTTTTAAAGCTTTTTTACAATGCAGCCAATGTAATTACCTAGTCAGAATAGAAGAAATAGGCTATGGTTATGCTTTATTAATTAGTCAACAGGGGCATACAAATCGTAATTGCTAATGGAGTTGTTAAAGACAAAGAAATCTACAATAGAGTTATACATTACTAAGTACTGTTTGATCAAATGATTGCTGGTTGATAAAATCTTAAAGACCGCTTTGTTAGCTAAAACTTTTATAGCGAAATCCATTGACTGTAAGCATTATTATGCCAGAAATGCAGTTTTACTTGAAGTATAACGCTAACCAAAACGTGGCTTTTACTTCAAAGAGATTCCACTTTCCATTTATAATCCATGCTCAATAAAAGATGCTTCTTTAAGTCAGGCATAACTTTTCGTATTCACACCTCTGCTAAAATTATACTTATTTAAGATCAGCTGATAGTAAAAGAAAAGAAGTATAGTTCCAAGCTATCCTCATTGATTATAATTTCTCGCTTCTGTCAGTGAATTTATTAAACATTCTATTCATATAAGAAGAAAAAATGTGGTCATATTTGAATCAATGGTGTACACTATGCAGGTCGTAAATTCTTGGAGACTAGGGAATGCTTTCTCCTAGCAATTTAAATCATGATAGATAGTATTTGCTATAGGAGTTGATCCTTTAGTCTCAGTTGTGCCCGTATATTGTCAATACTAATGCAGTAATTTAATATCACTTTTCTCTGAGAATGATATAGTAGCTCCTGCTAATCCAGTTGCTTTGACTAATTGCGCAAATTTTAAATGATAAATTAGTGATAGTGTAAGTTTTTTTTACTTAGAATACTTTGGCTGATGTAGTCGAGGAAGTTATGCATAAATCATCGTTAAGTGCTGCAACCAGTAATGAAAGTACACAAGAAGAAAAAAAAGAGAAAAAAATTCTATATCCCATCAAGGGTGTTCCTTATACCTTAGATATTAATTTGCGTGAAGGTGCCAATTTGATCGCCAAGGATTTATCAGGTAAACTCAGCAGATATATCGCATCATTATTAACAATAAAGAAGTTTTTCTATTTCTACTGACCCGATAAACACAATTCCAATTCTGTTAGTCAAGAATTAATTAATCATGAATTTCATTAGGTTTATTAATAATATTAATATATTATAATGCAGCTGTACAAAATGGGCGTACATCGCTCATTCTATACCTGTAGGTTAAAGCGGAATTATAGAGTTAGGCGGCAATTGCTTTTAATATTGTTAAACGGATAAACTAAAGATAGGATAGCGTTATTATTCATCGATCGTTACAACGTTAGTTATTATAAATCCGTTGTCTTAAAACAAAATTTGCAGCTGTAATAATGCTAGCATTCAAGTAATCTATTTAAAAAGAGAACAAAATTACGATTTCGAATTTAAAGTGATCACGAATGGTGACGTTAATCGTGAACTCTGTCATTGAAATTAACAATGAAAACACTCAAAATGAGGATAGAATTGTCACTAAGTTAGCTAACATTCTTATTTCTTGTTATCCTTTCTTATTTGTGCAGGAACAAGCGATCCCTATGTCAAATTTCGCTATAACAATAAGCTATTGTATAAAAGTGCTACCATCTATCGTGATCTACGACCTCGTTGGTATGAAAAGTTCTCTCTGAACATAGAAGATGTTAGTAAATTTCTTTACCTCAAAGTTTATGATTACGACTTTGCTCTGAAAGACGATTTTATGGGTGAAGCCTATGTGGATATGGCTACACTGGAGTTAGAAAAGTAAGAAATGGCATCATCGTAGTGTTTATAATTGCCATAATAAATGCCTTTGTATTGAAAAATTAATCTATTCTGTTCAATTTTGGCTTTTAATTTACCGCATTTAAACGATAGAAGATCGTTTTCTTTTAATAGTTACATCGATTATTATTCGGCTTTCATTATTCTTAATACTGATTGAATTGTTTCATGAACATTGCTCAGCTTAGTATCATTCAATTGTTGTGTAAAGTTTAAAGTTTAAAACTGTTTTACTACATTAGCTACATCTTTCACAAGCTATTTGCTCAAGACTAGTAAACTAATAGCACCTTGTACTAATATCAAAGAATAATACTTGTATATGCCACTCCATTTTTGGATAAAAATTTGGTAGATTAGTACAATTTGCAGCGTGACATAACATTAATATTCCTTTTTTTACTTTATTACCTGACTATGCATTGTCCAAAATCAATATCTTATAATCACTAGTATTTTAATAGATTATCTTAAACTAATTACTTGAGTCGGTTTTGCTTTGTATCGTTAGGTAAGGATTTCAACTGTTATGTAAAGTTCTTATGTGATTAAATTACAGCATAAATATAGATAAATACGCGTATTTACTATGTGTTGTATAACAATTAACAGCTTTACTTAATTCGATATTTTCGTCAGTAAAAATAGGTAATTATCAATTTGTTGATTCAGCCACAGCAATTTATTATTATGACTCTCTCTCTGTTAAGGATAACCGAGATTAAATTAAAGCTAGAAGATCCAAATGCAGCTGGAAAGGACTTAGGCTATCTATTATTAACATTGACATTGACGCCAAAGAGAGAAATGAAAGAGGTAAATCAGAATGTTATGAACCAGTTATAACACATTTTGGATTGATCATTATGTCTAATGTTTACTATAAATTCGAATGATACGCAACACAATTGAAAATCTTATGTAAAGCTATAATATTAAAATATTAAGCATCAACAACATCTGCATCGTACATTTACTTCATGCATCAAGTTTCACATACGGTCAGATAACGCATCTTGTATATCATCATCATTTCATTAAAGATATAATGTCTACAGTTGGTAATGTACTATAATTGCTAGATATATCGCGTTTTCCCTTACTGTTTGTTTTAATATAGTATGATTAATCTGAAGTAGTGATTTTTCCATCGTTTTTATCTTAAAAAATTTCTAAATACTGCAGAGATCAGTGAAAAGCTAATATTAAGTTATATTCTAGTACTAATTAAATCAGAGTTGCAAATACCAACCTGGCTCTTAGTGCTTAATAATATTTGGAATATTTTCTATGACTACCGTATCTACAGTATGACTCTACACCCGAACTGTAATTATTCCACATAGCTCTATAATAAGAACTGACTTATTCAAGAATTTCAATCAATCGACATAGTAACAGAGCAAGCATTATCAATCTACTACTTGTAATGAAATTAAGATATCCTCCGTATGCTCGTTATTATCCCATGAGTACCGATGTTATTATTCTTATCGGAACATAATATGCCAAACTACGCCCCATTGCTATAATCGTATTACAGTACTTTAACCCGTATTATGTTTAAAGTTAACCATATTGTATCATGAAACAATAATTTAAAGCATTTTGACACCAATTCGGAGTCAACGCTAGCGAACAATAAAATGGAGATAATCATTTATAAATGTAAACAGCGAATTTAGATGGGTTACTGTAAGTATGGTGTTTACGTAGTCACGTTCTAGCAATTTCTCATATTTTGCTATATGTAGCCAATGACATCATCATCACTGCACTTTTAAGAGCAATGGCTTATCATCATATTGTTTCCCTCCTATTTAATTATAGTTATGCACAGCATCATACATTTTGTCGCCGTATGCCTGTGTCCAGAAACTAATGCCAAATTTTAATTTACTATTTCACATTAACGTTACTTTTGCAACGAGTCCGAGCAACTGCTGATGATTTTATCCTTAAATACGTATTTAAAACTTACTTGAGCTATTTCTGTAGTCAAATAATAATTGCATGCTTAACCAATCGAAAAGTAATTTCGCAAAGATAAGAATGGTAACTTCAACTGAATCTCCGCCGACTTCTAATGAGTTAAAATCAACTTTTCATCCTAGACAAGTATATCTAATATGTTGTGTTTTTATGAATATCAATCTTGAATAACTGTAATTCATATATCTCTTCATATGAATAAAAAGCCCAGAATGCAATACTTCTTATCTAGTAACTAGTTTATTGCAAGCATAAACTATCAAGAACAGTTCAGTTCATATGATAATTAAGGCTAAAGATGTAAATAGGTATTCGATAAGGTATAAAGTAGTAAAAAGACAAGCAAGATTACTGCTCTTTACATCTCTGTAGCTCGTAGAAAAAAGACAAAACTTGCTAGAGCAGGATTTTTATGGAATAGGTAATTTGATATTATCCGGTAGCGCGGTAGTTGTCACTGCAAATATTGAAAAGTAAACCGTGATATACCTTTCTTATTGATATTCTATATATTGATGTATGTGTTTGCGTTCTATTTTAAATCTTATTTCCTTCCTACTAAAACTACCTATTGCCTATTTATTGATGACATAAGACTATCAAGCTTATCATTAATATAGCATTCTATAGTTAGATATTTATTATAGCTGTTTAAATTGTGCCGTAACATTTAATATTATACGCACAATTTATATATTATTTACCAAAGGCAAAATCAAAGTCCTTAATAAGCACTCTAACACGTGGAAAATCAAAAAAGAAGATTGAAACTTCGGGCGTCGTTGATATAACAACCAAGAAACCTAGATCGCAGCATTCATGCGATTGCGTTTTGAATGTTGTACTATTAGAGGGTAAAAATCTGATGGCCATGGATGATAACGGTAAATAGCTCTTAAATCGTAGTATAGAGTAATGCTATCTATCAATTTCTTAATACTGGTTCTTACCCATACTGAAATTATTATAGCAGTAAATAAGATACCATACTGACAGTACTAATATTTTTCAATCATCTCTATCAAATTAGGTAAAAGTGATCCCTATTGCAAGCTTAGAATCGGAAATGAAAAATTTAAAAGCAAGGTAGCTTTCAGATTGTAATTTAATAACTTGCTATCAAGATATAGTATAAATTAATCTGATTGTATTGCACAGACTTGTAGCAAGACTTTAAATCCAGTTTGGAAAGAAGAATACGAATTTCATATTTACTATGACCAAACAACTATATTTGAACTGGAGGTTTACGATTACGATATGGCATCAAAGGATGATTTCATGGGAAAGTGAGTAAATGACCCTTTATTCGAGTATTTGCGCATTACTAGCCAGCACATGTTGGGCATTATTATTTTTTAAATAAAACGAAACATTTTAAGATACAAATTCATAATAATTGACAATGACAGAGTTGAACTAGACGTGCTAGCATTACCAAAAGAAGACACCGTACGTATGGAGTTAGAACTAGAGGGAGGCGAAGGATTAATTTTACTACTTCTTACATTAACGGGATTTAATGATGGCAACAACATGACTGACGAGGATTTGGCTGGAAAGGAAGTTACTGACCCTAAAAGAATTGAAGACTTGGAAGATAAATATGTCAGTTTAATAATAGATGTTTTAATTTTTGACGATCAAAGATCAAGGCTTAAATTAATTTCTGTTGATAATGCAGGCACTTTCAAAGACATTTAAAGATAAGGCTGATATAGGCTATTTAATTATGAAAGGTTATTTCTAGAAACGATATTTAAGCAATTATACATATCGATAATGATATGCAAAATCGAAAGTATAAATACTACTAGGACCAGAATTGAAGATGTATCATATTTATATTTAATTTTTAGTCATAAGAGCAAAGGAGTTACCCGCTGCTGACTTTGGAGGTAAATGTTTATTACTGACGACCGTTCACATCACCTTGGAATGTAAAATCGCGAATACTTCATTATAGGGAATAGTGATCCTTTTGTTATAGCTGAAGTTCGTAATAGAAGAATTCAAACACCTACAGTTTATAAAACTATTAATCCAGAATGGGGCAAAGTTTACCAATTGTAAGTCTTTTCATTTTAGCATATCGTTTATTGTGTCTTGTAACCTACGCATTTATGCTATGCGTCTACATCATCATTCTTCTGTGAAAACTGACGATACTTTTACTACGTTACTTTTATGCTTTAAGTGGAATCAAAGATATTCACGACATCGTTAAAATAAGCGTTTACGATGAAGATAAGGCTAAGAAAGAATTTTTGGGGAAATGCATGATACCCTTACTAGATGTATGTATAATTTATAGTGCTTCATAACGAGCTTATAAGGAATAGTTTATTACTATAATGTGGAAACTGAAATTTCTTTGTGATCGTTGGTTAGGTTGAATCTGGCGTCAGAAAATGGCATAACTTAAAGGATCGAAAATTTCGCGATAAAGCTAAAGGTCAAATTGAAATAGAAATGACCGTTGTGTATAATCCGGTAAATTTGTAGCTAAATATCCGCATATTCTAGATAATGATTACTTTATAGCCTCTGTAAACATGTAATATGCTAACTTTTATCATCGTGGAACGGATGTCTAGATCAGAGCGGCTCTGCGCACCTTTAAACCTAGAGAAGAATATTTCTTGGAAGAGGAAATAAAGTTTAAACGTCAGGTATATATTTTATTACTAATAAATTTACAATATAATATGTTATGAACTTTACCCTTTCAGATAAAAGTGATAATTATCTATTATTTAAAAGTGATAATTATCTATTATTTTACACACTACTAAGCAGTTCAAGAACTTATTTCTAAGATTTTTATATTATTATTGATCATATAGCTCCTCGTAAGGAATCTGAAACGTGTTGGTGGATTGGTAAAAGCGATAGTATCTTTTGGTGGTAGTATAAAAGATCTTTTTGAATGGAAACGAAAATCGAGGAGTGCCATTGCATTCATGGTAAATTTACTTTCTACTTCAAAATAAGAATTTTTAAGATAAATGATTATATTACTAACTTTATTGATTAAACATCTGGACAGATATATATCTTCATCTGCCTAAACTTTGATTGGTTTTTCCTGCCGGTTATGTTGCTTATCACTTTCGCCTATCATTACATCAAGTATAGTTTAATGGGAAGTGCCTACTTTGATTTGGGAGAGGTGTGTTTCTAATCAAACAATTTATAAAGTGCATACAATCTCAACATTAGCTTAAGCTTGAATTACAAATTTAATGATACTAATAGGAAGAAGAAGAAGACGATGATGACGAGGAGACTGAAGATGCAAATAAAAAAGGAAAAGTAAGGCTACCTTATTGACAAGACTTGCAATGTTAAATTTATAGAGTAATTCCAACGAATATGTAGTAACATTTTTCAATTAAAATCTCCTGTTTTTACTTGCGTAAAAATAATTATAGGAGAGTAAAAGTCTCAAAGCTAAATTACAAGCGCTGTATGACGTATGTCAGACGGTACAAAATGTTCTGAATAAAGTAGCATCATTTGGAGAAAGAGTTAAAAAGTAAGTTTACTGAAGTAAGAACTGACGTCGACATACAACTGATATAAGATTTAGCAAAGTTCTGATACTATACCTCGATAACTTATGGGTGGTATTTTAAAAGCTATAAAAATTAGTTAGAAATGAGTATAGAAAAAGCGTTACATGATATACTTTGAGTTTACAAATGATATCATTTAAAAACTGAGATGTTCAACTACATTTTATCTATGATATCGTCTAAGTAACAGTTTTTGTCCAATTAGTATCAAAGGAATCAATTTTTAATTTCTTACCATAATAGTACCTTCAATTGGACCGTTCCTTGGTTGTCAATGTTAATGGTTATCGTATTAAGTATTGTAACAGTCATATTTTACATCATACCAATCCGTTATATTTTCCTGGCCTGGGGGATTAAAAAGTTTACGCGAAAAATCATTAAACCCAATCACATTCCTAATAATGAGTTAATGGATTTCTTATCAAGAATTCCATCGGATGAAGAACTGGTAAAATTTAAGAAATAATTTTAATCAAAAATCTATATGACCTAGCTATAATATTGGATGTTAAATAATTAACCACTAACAAACACCTGACATTCTTTATTTGCATGTTCTGTTTTCATAGATACTATTACGCGATAGCAGTGTTCAAGACGAGAAAGATACGAAGAAAAAACGCTAGTTTGGCTTTTGTTTACTGAGTACTCAAAACTAGAATAATTGGTTACTAACACGTTTAATTGAAAAGGACAAAATTTGCACCAATATCGATAAACAATTATATCAATCAAATAATGCTTAAAAATTATGCTGGTAAGACAGAGCAATGGTTTTCAAATATTATGGATTAAATGTAGTTGTTCAGCTATAGTGTTCGATAAGATCACAACCACATATTTAATTTATTGATGAGTTATGTAGATGTGATGATATTTCGAAAATTAAAAGATTATACCCGATTAAGCCTAGCCAACAGATTTTATTTCTATATTCTTTATCAAAACGCTCTGCAAGACAAGGAAATGAAAGTCCTCTTCTACATGTCTACACTAGATAGCATTCATGCTACAAATAATGATTAAACTTTTTTTTGTAGCAATTTTAATAAAAAACTGTGTTATTCAGTCTACGAAGATCTCTTTCTGTCATATATAAACTTATTACCTAAAAATTTGTTGATTACTTTGGTTTTGCAGCCATATTATAGCTAGGAAATCGCGGTTTAATGCTACTTTTTAATTGTAATTTCACTTCAACGTGTAGTGAAAGGCTTGTCACCTTTCTAAATTATACATAAATTAATTAAGGTACTAAAGCTGACACTGATATGAAGGTTTCATTTTTATTTTGAATACAATTAAATTATGCTATTAAGAGGCTCTACTTTAGATAATTATGCAACCTTTAGGCGTCTTTTTTGATATAATTTATGCATAGGCACTGTACCTACTTTACTAATAATCTCATTAAATTGTGGTTACTGATCATCATTTTAGCTTTATCCGCCCCTATGATTCAGTGAATCATACGGATTTGATTGATGATGTTAAATTTACTAGAAGATTTTAACTGCAAATTTATCATCAAAATTTATTCAAAAATATGAATAGATAGATGAAATTAAAACTTCAATAACATCATTATCTATTAGCTATTTAAAATTTATGTATGTGAATGATTCCTTAATAGCAGATTTGCTTCTAAATTTAATACCGACATCAAGCTGGATTTTTATTTAATGTATTACTGTATGTAGTGTAGACGGCATTTTATGTTGACTAAGATATCCATACACGTAAACATGAAGTAATTAAACTTATATTAATTCATGTTTGTTACTTTTATAAGCTAATTTTAATATTTGCAGTAGATATTAAATATCGTATTATAACCATAAGATTGGCATATGCACGACGTATTTGCCTTGGTTCTTCATTATTAAATAAAATAAATGACGCACATGCTCCTTTTATTAAATTGTTTGCACTAAGGGCTATAAAAAATTTTGGGGTTGCTTTTCTCTCGTAATTATATCAACGTACTATGTTCAGTATTCAGTATACTTTTACAAATTTATCAATAAATATCAATTTTGCTAGTCAACTATCCTTGTCTCTGAAGTTCGATTACGATTCATAAAAGAAATAGAAATCGGACAAAGCTTGAAATAGTTGATACGTAATGGTATTGATGGTATATTCCCATATGAAAATACGACCAGAACGGTAAAGCAGTTGGCAATAGTTCTCATTCATTTGTCATTAATTCATGGCCTCTTTGATTCTAGATTCGCTGCTAGATTTTGCAGTAATATGGCTAGTGTAATAATTAATCAATTAATAATCAGACAAATAACATACAGCAGATACATGTTTGATCTCTTTAGGATCTAATTTATCATCTGAATATACAGAGTACGCGCACACTTGCACAGTTAACGTGACTATGGGAACAAAAATTTTCTAGTTTTATCAGAAATTTTTGCTACCCTATTGAAATATACCCCTATAAATTGATTCATTATTTAATGAATACCTGTTTTTGTTTTAATTGATTCCTATCTAAGGATTTTCAAGGGCATTTAACAGCTTTAGAGACGAATTTGTATAACTTTCATGCATAGCTTTTACTGATCGAAAAATATTTCAATATATTTACTAAACGTTGCAATGATGACATAAAATCATTTTGATGATGGCTACAGGTAACTGATAATATTTGCAATGGACATGCAATTCCTTAGATATATGCTGGACAAAAATGATGTGGTAACAACGTACAGTACAGGTTTTTATGAATACATAACAGCTATCAGATATCTTTAATTCTCTCATTTACCTCTCTTCATTGCTGACTAGCACTAATAAAGCCTCTCTCAGACATATATGCTCTTTCTCTCTCTTGCTCTCCTCACTCATGTTCCCTTCTTGAATGTTTATGGATATAGCTAACCCTCGTACACAGGTAGAAAATCTTACGCAACCAATCTATCACAGGTGATATGAGTTCAATTGAATTATAGAGCTAGATATAAAATTTTACACATAACAAATCAAGCAATTTTTTTTAAATAGTTTTTATCCAAGATATTCGAAAAGAAAACCATCTATCATTGAGCAAGAATATTAATCAATCTACAGGTACGGAACCACAATAAATGCGATAGAATCATAACTGCATATCAAGCTCTACTAGTACATAAACTATTCAATTTATCGTCTCTGGCTTATGAATTTCTATCAGTCTAGCTTTTAAATGTACATATTAGCTTCCTAGGATTGATTTTTTATCAATTAGATGTTTGAGAAATATTACAGTAAAGTAATAGCTAATTCTTGAATGTAGAATTTTGTTATAGAATGCATAAATCATTTCAGTTATAAGCCTAAATTGCTATTCTTATCATCTGCGCTAGTTAATTAGGCATATTAATTTAAAAGTAATCATATTTGATAAAATGAACAGATTAGCATAGTTACTTATACGCTATTTAAGTTATAAACTAGAAGAAATAAACATATAATGGTCAGTGCTGAAAATTAGAAATGTATTCAAATAAGACCAAGCTAAGGGTAGGTTATCCTGTAACGATAATAGAGCTGTTCGCTTGTAACAATAAGATCAAGTCGATATCAATTTGTTTTTCTATTGCGGACAAATCATTTTGATGTATCCTATCAGAAAGAGCACAGCAATAATAAAAAATATCGTGAAAGCCCATTCCTCAGTATGGTGATGAAATAGTATATTATAACTGGCCACTCTCTACGAGATGATTCAATTTATCAACAATTTCATCCATAATAACATTAAATTTATCATTGCGATCAAATGCTCTCTCAATAAATTCTTCGTTGGAATAAAATTCAAATACATTTTTAACTCTTTTATGCGATTTATCGGTTAAATGGCGATTGATTAAGCTATCAATCAGCTGTTTACATTCATTTAACATTCTAATTAGGTAACGCTTATCAAATGTGAAACTAATCTCACGAAAGCTGATAATGGTTAAGATTAATTGATGGAATTTATCTTGCAACTGGTGTCCAATCTCTAGTTCTTCCTCATTCAATTGCTCATAACGATATAAGATGCCAATTTTAACAATGATTTTCAAGATGTTTTTAACTAATTTTTCAGCTTTTTTCTTCTCTTTCATTTCCAATTTGGCCATAGTGTAAATATTATCCAGTAATGAGCCAACACTATCATCGATGAACATTTTGGCTAATCCTCGCGTTGCCATCCTGCCCAATAATTTTTTTTCAACGCGAATGGCCATTTTTTTACTGCTAAAATGTTCATTATTTGATTCGGACACTGAATACGTAAATGAAAATTAGAAACATTAATATTATAAATATACCAAATGTTGTCCTAAGAACTTAGGCTACGATAGCGTTTTGATTGAAAAAGTGATTCATCCATGCAGTTCATTTATTTCTCTGATTTCACTATTGAATACATGTACAGTACTATTAACTAAAATATATAAAATAGCGAAATTGTGATACAAGAAGCAGCAAAACAAAGAAATCTCGAATGGACGAGCACTGTGTCAAAACGTTGATTCATGTTTGCCCCTATAATATTTCTGACATTATTTAGCTTTCAAAAACACAAAGTCATTCTATGCTATTATCAAATCAGAAAAGCAAGGTCGTAATAGATATCAATCAAAATGAAGTAAACATTAAATTCATAGTGACAAAGTGATGAATTATAAAGTTGATCTAGCCTTTTTCTCTAGTTATTAAATCGTCAAGAGTGCCATGTCTGTAACTAGTAATACTTGAAGAATTATGTAACAAACTCAGTAAAATTAGAAGGTGTGATTTGGACAGAGAACAGCTTGCTAAATAGATCAAATTATCAACAATATTTCATAAATCTAGTGGATATGTCACTAGTAATATAAAATTTGTAGTAGAGAAATTCATAACTTTCAGCATAAACACTGCATTATAGCTTTAGAAGTGACTGCATAATCAATGGCGTAGCATACGGAAGCTAGTTTGTTAAAATAGAAACAAAATGATTATGAGTAGAATATTTAATTTCGATTATTTTGCTACATAATACTAGATATGGTGGATATCTGTAATTGGAATCCATTCTATTTAACAAAATAATTGAGCGGAAAAAAACAAAATAATAAAAGTCGAAAAGTGATAATGATGTTCTTTTATCCTGACGTATGGATAATCCGTAGCTGGATATATGCTACTATATAATGCAAGGCAAGAATAAAGTTGTTTGAGAAGCTTAATATACTAGTATCAACTTTGTCGTTATGAATTAGTATAAATAAATCTGTTTGAGCCGTGTACACAAAATGTAAAATTTTACTAGTATTGCTGTCAAAGTAAACTTTTTCTTGAAGAAAAGAAAATCGATTATCAAGGTTGAATAGATATTGCATTTAATTTAGATTAAATGCTACGTCTATGCTATTTGACGCATTTTTTTACGTAAAGAACAAACTATATCGGCTCAATCTAGTACCAAAGATTGATACTTTGAATTGTGGCTATGAAGATTTCAAGTTGATTATCATTACAGTTGTATGTAGCTAATATCTCTCTTTCCAGCAATAACACCGAGTAAAAATACTCTATGAAGGTAAAGCGACTAACTACTACTGCAATCTTTACTAGCTTTAGAGTACCATAATAGTAATATGAGCTAAATTAAGCTTGAAAAAGATTTCATAAAGCTACCAAATTATTTGAATGTTTTAAATTTGATATTTTCATCTACTACCTTTATTTCAACTATCATTATTTCTATTGATATCAATAAAATATTAATCAAGAGATAAAACAATGCGCAAATGATTGGCAGCTAGTCTAACTTATGCAAATAGGTGACTTGAAAACGTCATTATAAGTATGGTTAGGGTATTCCAAAAAGGAATCACATCTATTTCGTATTTATCGGTTTAGAGATGGTCTTGTAATTAATTGCTTTATTAAGACTATATCCTAATCGAAAAGGAAAGCAATCTCCATATTTAATACCTATGATAGGCTAATTTTAAATGATTCATTATCAACCTCGAATGAAAAGAAATTGCTAGTATCAAGGCAACTTAAGCATAATGTTTCTCTGTCGAAAGTATGAATATGAAAGATCATTTTAAAATATTTACGTCTTCTTCTCCCTTTTCTTCCTGTATTGATTATTATGAAGTAGGTAATAAATTAGTCATAAATTTATCCGCATTAAGATTACACATTTTCACTAGCCTATATTTTCTATTTTTAAAAGAAGACTTCGGCGTGCATGCCATAGACTGAGAGTCATGAAGGAATTCAATTTAAAAATGTTAAAGCTATAAAATTTCGTTAATAAACAGCGATCTAGCTATTGTTAAGCCGTGTTACCATTCAAAGGTTTGGAGAATAACATGGATTAATTAACGATTAATAATTACCCTTCAAGGGCAATAAATAAAGTTTAGTAATCGTTCATAGAGAAAATAGCAGAGCTCTATTCTAGTGACAACATTATTTACGGTTTTAAAGTCATATATCGATTAATTTAAAATGCAATTTACTGGCAGGTGGAATTTAGGTAAAACATTAGCAATATAAATCAACTTGCTGATGCTATGAATGGTGTTTTTTTATTCATTTCTCTACTATTTAAATAGAAACAATATCTTAATAAATCACAACTAGAATAGAAATCTAGATATTATATTAAATCAAATTGGATAACTTATTCAACCGTAAATAGAAAGATTCAGGATCTATACAATACGTCAAGAATCGGTGTATGCTACTCAACCAATATTTTGACAGTTAAAATTAATTCTGAAAATAAATTGTTATTCTGTAAGTCACAATCCCGGATGTTCCTATTCATAGGGAAGTTGGAAGTGATGAAGTTTGCTAATCTCTAGTTCTACTGCTACTGTTTTTATTCATGATTAAATAATTTGCCTATAGGTCGTTTCTTGAGATTTTCCAGTGTACCTCTATAGCATTATATCTAAATTTTCTCTTAACAGTCTTTGCTATGATAACTGCCTAAGGTATTGGTATCTCATCTACTAGGCTAATTGTGTATTCCTGCAGTAGGAATGAAATCTAGTCGCATCGATAGATGTTATCCTAATCTTTAGCAATGTAGATAGATCAATACATGTCTACCACATAGGTAAAAGGTTTACCTCTACGATACTTGTGATTTTAACTACGAATTCATATAGTGCTAAATGAAAGATATTTGCATCTGCAATTTATATTATCGATCAGTTTTGCTTTGATTGAATATCTTTGATCTGACTAATGGTCAACTTGAGTATTTACATTTGTATATCTCATTCCAAACCCTTTCATTCTAGATTCAATATACTTGTCTTCTAGCGCAATTGTCAATGTTTCCAATTAAATACATTGATAATAATAATTATTAGTTCCGCCACTGATTTACAAACGAAGTAAACTAAATAATTTTTACACTCAGTAATATCATTATCAATCTAAAGTTAGGAAACAGGAATTTCAAACGAATCTGTATCTATAACTCGCTACCCTAGATTCTTGTAGTAACAATTTAATCTATTCCATCTATTAACATTATAATCCATTCCTTTAGCATTAATTTAATATCTTTCTGTCTATAGTGAAAGTATTCTTTATAGGATTAAAATCGATATTTATAAAGCCTTAACACCAATTCTATCAACCTGGACAAAGTATAAATTTGCCCGATACTATCGTCTATTCATTCAATTTCCATGAAATATCCATCTTAGCTATTACTATTTCATCTTAATTTGTAACTACTAACTACTACAGAAAGTGATTGAATGGAAATAGCGGAATGTAGGAAAGAAGCTCATCCAAGGTTATTAATTAAGAACCAATCATACCATGATTGGAAACCTAATCTTCAAATACAACTTTGTCAACGAATAGTCGGATATAATCAAGAAATAAAATCCACTGTATACCACGAAAGTGATCAGCCTGAGCAAGTAGTGAAACGATATATCTTTCTATCATTGAGCTAGTAAAATCAATCTCTTATTTTTACTTACTATTTGATAGCTGCAGTTTAATTTTCGTCTAGTACTCCACGTCGTAGGAAAATAACCTTATTAATAGGCTGAATTTTATCCTTAGATGTTAATGAGATGTGAAAATTTTGATATAATTTGCTGAAAATGTAACAGTACTTTTCGATTCTTGATTGTAGTGATGGCTAGCTAGCCAAATGAAATTGAAATCCAAGTGAGTAAATTTAGTATCACTCTACTGCAAGAAATCAATGATCCAGGTTAGTATTCCTTCTAGTCGTTCTGGAAATTGATCAAATCTTACATTCTAGATAGATTGAAATCATAATATATTCATAGTGAATACATGCACGCGATTTTGCAAGTTTGGAGGAGATAAACCGATGATTCAATCTCATCATCCCCCTTCAATCGATCAATAAAATTCTCATAAGGTAAGCTGATTCTAATTAAAATAAGAGTAATTTCGATGTTTAAATGTGCATAATTTTATGTTATTAAATTGATGATATACGTTAAACATTCCTTCTTGTAATCCATCGAAATAAATATCAACTTAAGTAATCTACATCGCTTGAAAGCAAGATAGGATTAATCAAGGCATGCGATTTAGAAAATATCTATGTAATTAATCGAAGGCACAAGCTCATAATCCTTCTTTCAACTTACTATAATGAACTTACTCCAACCAAAATAAAAAACTAATTTAGATATTAAACTAATTTGAAAATTGATGATATAAGGGAACATTCCTAGTCGCAATACATTGAAATTAACATCAACATATGTACTATCAACCGTTTAAAAGCATGATAGAATTAATTTGAGTATTTAATTTAGCAAAATTCATATTGATCAATCAATCAATGATATAAGCCAATTGTCGTGCTTATCTGTCGTAAAAATAAAACTTATAAAATCTAAAGTGATTTAAATTAAAGTAAAAATAATTCTTGACATGCAATAGCGCTTTGCCCTATAAGATAAAGCCTTATAATTTATTAATTTAAGTAAATGGCAACTCATAGAATCTAAATTGATTTCAATCAAAGTAAAATTTAATTTGGAAATCTTATGATGGAAATCGTAGATTATAAATGATAATGCAAGTCGATATTTCCTTAAAATCTAGCAGAGCAAAATTAGTTCATATCTTAACAGAGTTAATTCAGAGATCTAATAGTGCATAGCTCTAAATTATAAACAGATAATGCAAGTCGATATTTTCCCTTACAAACTACTAAAGTAAAGGCAAATGTATATAGTAT